ACTTATGCAGAAGTTTCTTTTCTTATGGTGCAAATGAGAGCCAGAAGAATTTCCTTCTAGCTCTGTGAAACTTGAAAATTATTTTTTAAAAAAATGAAACCCTGTCCTTTGTGACAACATGGATGAGCTTGGAGGACATTATGTTGAATGAAGTAAGCCATGTGAAAAGACAAATACCAGATGATCTCACTTATAAGTGGTATCTAAAAATTCAAACTCGTAGAAGCAGATAGTAGTATGGTGGTAATCAGAGGCTGGCAATAGAGGGGTCCAGGGGATTGAGAACGTTGGTCAAAAGACATAAAATTTGTGTCCTTTAGACAAAAGGATTTCAAGTTCAAGAGATCTGTTGCACATCATGGTTATTATAGTTAATAGTGATAGATTGCATACTTAGAAATTGCTAAGATAGTAGATAGTGTAAGTGTTCTCACCACAAAAAAATAAGCATGTGAGGTGGCATAATATGTTAATTAGCTCAAACTCTATTTAAGAGAGCATTTTAATCTCATGTAACTAGTGGCTCCTGTATTACAGATATTACTGGAGGGAAAACAGAGCAAAGAATCCACCTTTTTAAAATAGAATTTAAGGCTTTCCTTGTGATTTTTAAAAATATACTATTCACTAAGGACAATGGCAATTGTGAGATTATTTAACACTCAATCTAGTATCTAAAACCAAACTCCTTTCTTAGCATTCTCTATATGTGTTTAAAACAAATGGTATTTTAACTTAATTTGTCATAAAACCTGCACTGTAACTGAAAAAAAGGCACATCCTAAAATCTGGGTTTATAGGTCCTAGTTCAGCATCTTGTTTAAGGAGACAATCTGTTTAAGACAACGTGGCCTTCAGCTTAGGTCACAAAATAGATTCCATATAATCAGTAAACCACAAGATGGCACCACTGAACAATTAGCTTATCTCAAACCTAGATGATTCTAGGTTTTCTAGATTACTCAAGAATAGTGTTACGCCTCCCATGTCAATCGCTTTCTAATGACTAGACTATGGAAAGGGAAAAATAGTAACTTTCCAGCTGATGAATCTGGTAGACAAACCAAGTGATTAAAATCAACATCAGTCATGGTGATACCATGTATACCTGATATGAAGGGATGAAAAGAACACTTCACGTCTGTGGTATTTATTCTTCCCTTTAACCTATTACAACCTCAGTCTCATCATAAGAAAGCATCAGCCAAACCCAAATTGAGGGACATTTTCCAAAATGCTTGACTGGTAGTCTTAAAAAGTGTCATAGTCATGAAAAACAGGAAATGCGGAAGGCCTGTCACAGATTGGAGGAGCCTAAGGAGACATGACAGCTACATGGAGTGAGGGATCCAGGTTTAGGTCCTGGATCTTAGTGGAAAAATTGGGGAAATCAGAATAAATTCTATAATTTAGTTAAGGAAATTGTACTGATATTAATTTCTTACTTTTGATAATTGTACCATAGTCACATAAGATGTTAACATTAAAAAAAGCTGGGTAAAAGAAATAACAGGAACTCTCTGTACTGTGAAACTATTCTCTAAGTCCAAAGTTATTTCGGAAGAATTTTTTTTTTTTTTGAGACAGCGGCTCACATTGTCACCCTTAGTAGAGGGCTGTGGCGTCATAGCTCACAGCAACCTCAATCTCTTGGGCTCAAGTGATTGTCTTGCCTCAGCCTCACAAGTAGCTGGGACTACAGGTGCCCACCACAATGCCTGGCTATTTTTTAAGAGATGGGGGTCTTGCTCTTGCTCAGGCTGGTCTCGAACCTGTGAGATCAGGCAATCCACCTGCCTCAGCTTCTCAGAGTGCTAGGATTACACGTGTGAACCACTAGGCCCAGCCCTCAGAATAAAAATTTTGAAAGATATAGGGGTAACTCTCTGAAATGCTATCTTATCAGCAACAAATTTTCATCGTCTATGATCTGGATATACTGGACTTCTGTGGAAGCTTGTATAATGGTTTGGCATGTTAACCCAGTACATGGTTCCAAGACCTGGGGTTTTATTCCTCTGTAGGCACAGTGAGCATATTTTTCAAACCCCATATTAGGATACATTGACAAAATAATTTTGTGAAATTTTCAAGTGCAAATCAATCACAGATAATGAGGGCAGAGCCAAGCCATTTCTTCCTGTTCTATGGCCATGGTTGGCACACTTTAATGACATGCAATTATCTCCCTAATGTGTGTCATAAGTATGATGGCTGCGGATTTCAGACTTAAAAAAATTTGTATTTTACTGATCATCAGTCAAATCAGTTAATGCATGGCTAATATCTTTGCTAATGTGCCAAATACTTTTTATTGCACAGAATAGTAGTTTGGCCCATAAATAACCTATTAGAATCGAGGAAGGCAACGTAACTCTGTTAGGGGGCAGGTGAGAACCAATTTCCAACATGTTACCTTTGTGTATATGGATGTGGGAAAAATTTTACTAGAAAGTATTTGTATAAATAATTAGGAAAACAGCGCTTTCTAAGTTATGATAAGAGCTAAATAAATAAAAATATTAATATCTACTTTCTTTCAGGAATGTAAATAAATTTAAGGGGTTTCCAGCATGTTCAGTAATTTTTTATAAATGTAAGATGTTATCATAATCCTACCAAAAGAACAATTGGAAACTGTTTTTTATCTGTCCAGGAAAAATAATCTCACTTCATCTGGATGAAGGATGCCCACATTTTAAAAAGTGATAGAAGATAATACAAGCCCTTGCATTTTTGAAACATTTTAAAGTGATACTCAGGCTGAAGAGGTTGCAAAGGAACTGACCATTCTCTGAGAAGATTGTTTTTAAAACCCACAGCTGTTGTTTCATGAATTCTTACTGTCTCTGTCTCATTTCCAATTCTCATATAATCCTGATTTTTGCCTTTGGTATTTTTTCCCCAAGTATTCAGTTTAAATAGAGAAGGTTTGATCATGGGTTCCTACTTTTCCTTGATCAATCAATAATCTGTAACTTTCCCTTTCCTTTAATTAATTAATTTGTTAATTTATTTTTGAGACAGAGTCTCTATTGCCCTGGGTAGAGTGCCATGGCGTATAGCTCATAGCAACCTCAAACTCTTGGGCTCAAGGTGCCTATAGCCAGGACCCTACATACCTGCCACAATGCCCAAGTACTTTTTTTATTTTTAGTAGAGAAGGGGTCTCTCTCTGGGTCAGACTGGTCTCAAACTCTGAGCTCAAACAATCCACCAGCCTTGACCTCCCAGAGTGCTAGGATTACAGGCATGAGCCACTGTGCCCTGCCTCTCCTTTCCTTTAAATATTCTTGACTTTGGTGGTTGGCATGCTTCACCCTTAACTGCTCACCTGATTCTAGACATTTTCTTATGCCTTGATCACTAGTGTCTGAACCCTATCCCAGCTCATCCCATTCTATTACTTAGTCTTCTTCCTTCTAGCCTTGTATACTGCTTTCTTAGGACTGTTGTAACAAATTGCTACTAACTGGATGGGTTAAATCAAATGAAATCTATTCCCTCACAATTCTGGAAACCAGAATTCTGAAATTGAGGCATCTGCAGGGCCATTCTCACTCTGAAGACTCTAGAGAGGAATGCCTCCTTGCCTTTTCTCAGGTGCTGGCATTGACAGCCATCCTTGATATCCCTTGGCTTGTAGTGGGATCACTGTAATTTATCCTTGTCTTCCACATGGCTGACTTGCCTTCGTGTGTGTGTGTGTGTGTGTGTGTGTGTGTGTGTGTTTCTACATTGAAATGCCCTTTCCCTTTCTCTTATAAAGACAACAGTCCTTGACCCCAATCCAGTATGCCCTCATCTTCATTTGATTACATCTGCAAAGACCTTTTTTCCAAATAAAGTCACATTCTGAGGTTCCAAATAAGGCCATGTTCTGAGGTTCCAGGTGAACCTGAATTTGGGGGAACACAGTTTGGAGCCCCCAAATAAAATCTTCTGCTATAGAACTATCAGATAAGGCATTCTGTTTAAGTTACTCATAGTAATACTGGATCAAAGTTTTTTCTAAACTACAGTTTGAAATATGATTAAAAGGTGCCAGCCATAAAATAAGAGCTATAACTAAAAACCTATATATTCATTTTTACAAAGTCTACAAGTCTTTGAGGACATAGTCCTTTCATAGGTATTTTTGGTTTATATAATTCAGGACATATTAAACAGATTAGAGGCTGTTAAATGAATTATAAATCACTCTTACTAGTTGCCATCAAGGAGAACGTGTGTGTGAAGAAAGGTCCAGTGAAAAGATATGTCTGCATGGTACTACATAATCAATTGGAAACATGCTCAGTAGAACACGTCCTATTTCACCATCAATTGAAAATTTTAGCTTTTCATTTGGGTGCTTTGGTACTATACAGACCTAGAGTGAAGACACTAAATGAGCAATCACTTTAAATGTCCACTACTTAATAAAACATAAAAAGCAAAAACCACTCCATAAACTTCAGTTTTTTTAATCTTTTTTTTTTTTTTTTAATTAAAGAGACAAGGTCTTGCTGTGTCCCCCAGGCCAGAGTGCAGTGGTGTGATCATAGCTCACTGAAACCTTCAGCACCTAACCTCAAATGATCTCCTCGCCTCCTGAGTAGCTTGGATTATAGGAGTACGCCACCACTCCTGGCAGTTTTTCTGTTTTTTTTTAGAGAGACGAGTTCTCACTATGTTGCTCATCCTTGTCTGGAACTCCTACCCTTAATTGATCCGCCCACCTCAGCCTTCCAAAATAATGGGATTGCAGGCATGAGCCACCAGGCCTGTCCTGCTTGAGTTTTTTGAGTGAAATGGTTGGTGGTTCTTTAAAATGTTAATAATGTAATATTTCTGTTTTCTATATAATACCTTATATTTCATCTGTGTATAACGTTTTATATTTCATAATATGCGATGTGTTTGGCTTTATGTATTTTTAATAGTTTCAACTTTGTTTGCTTCCTGAGAGCTGGATTATGTAGCCAACATTTGATGTTTATCACTGTCCTGTGTTTCAGGGACTACATGAGAAGACTGGTGCATTTACAGCTGTTAAAGTGATGAATGCTCGTAAGGTAATATCATATCCTGCTTATAGTCCCTTTCCTTAACTTCTTGGGATCAACAGCTCAGAAAATATTGTAATTATTTATAATTCTTATTTAATTAGCAATTTGTATATTAATCTGGATTTATTTATCATTTAATGTTTCTATCCATTAGTATATTATTTGTATTGGTTTATTATATTTCCACATAAAAATGTTTCAATTACAGCAAAAGTTCCACATATTTTGGTATTCTATAACAATGAGGAAGATATCTGTATTCCTCACTATTTCTAGTTGGTGATCTGTTTCCAGGGATAGCAAAGAAGAGATTTCCTCTAGTATCGTGTTAATCCTGCTGTGTTCCATCATAGTCTTTTCCTTCTCCAACAATTCCTTCTGAGAATTCAGGCCATTAGATTTTCAGTGACAAGCAGAAGGAGGAAACTTGTCAGAGAGGTGCATTTTTCATGTATTTTCTGACAGATGAGCAAGAGAGACAGTTTAATTGGCGCTGTTCCTGCTAACATTCATAAAGTTGTGTCATGGTTCATAACGTATTGTCACAGAATTTGCTAGCACTGATTTCCGTCCTCTTTCTTTAACATGAGCACTTTACTTTCTCAAGATAATATTAGCATGAACATAGCAAAGGCCACAAAATTTTCACTTCACTATACCCTAAAGGAAGATGGATGTTTGAAAGACTATCCAGATTCACTGAACTGTTGTCAATGCCATAAACTGTTCTCTCCCAACTTGTGTTGGAAGTGAATTGGTGAAAACTATTTAAAGAGTTGTGTGCTTTTTATTTTGCCAGTGAATGTCAAATGTTGCAAACCGATGTGAGTTTTAAGGGATTTTGAGGTTTTGTGGATTTATTTTGCCCCATAAACTATGGCTTCCAAATAATCAACCTTGTCCTTGTTGAGTGAGACTTTCTAAAATAACATATTTCCTTGTTTTAATTTGAGAGACCTTGACCACATTTAGTCTTCATCTCAGAAACTGACATATTTATATGTATTTGAAAATCATGTTCATTCCAGAGATGGTTTGTGTCAATAATCTGGTTTTGTAAGGGGAGAAAAGGCACTTAACTAATATCAAAATGTAGTTTTCCCGGTAATATGGTAATTAAATCTATTACCATGAATTGGTTGCCAAGTTTCTGTGTATATAATAAGAATCTGATTTTGTAAATTAAAATTAGTGAAAATTGAGAAAGGAATATTATTTTACTCTTCCATTTAGTGCTAAAGAAACAGAAAATACTCAAGCATAAATCATTTTCAGAGGGTACCAGTAGGTATAATAACATTTCATTCTTGGTTTTGCAGACCCCTTTACCGGAAATAGGAAGGCGAGTGAGAGTGAATAAGTATCAAAAGTCTGTTGGATGGAGATACAGCGTGAGTATTAAAAGTCCTCATTAGCACCCAAGTAGTCTTTCTTTTAATTTTCATCTCCAAACACACCTCTTTGCATTGTGTCATTGTCTCTGGAAAGCCACCACTAAATAAGTGTTTTGACCTGGAAGTGATAACTTATGTTATAACGTAGTCATATGGATTCAGTATGATGGCTTTTGAACACTAGCATCTATCAGAGAGCAGGGCCTCAAAGAAATGTTCCCTTGAATGGAAGAGTGTTGACTACAGGTGAGGAGTTGAGTAATTCTGTAGAACAGAGAGCCCTCTACCTGGGTGGCAAGAAAAGAGGAGATGATGAGACCAAGAGAAAATGTTACCTAAAATTGGCCTTGGCAAAGGACTTTTCACACCTTTTACAGGGTGTTCTGAGGTGAATGGCTTTTCCCCCATTATGGTTCCAACACATGTTACCATTGTATCTGAGCCAAATGAGGACTGGCCTTTGGTTAATCGTAAGAACAATAGCAAATAGAAAACTGATAGACTACCCAGCCTAAAAGTCTCTGGATAGCTGGCTCTGTACTTGAACACGTGGAAGAGTGTGAAGATGTTTTTTTTCCTCGACTGCCCTACAAAGCAGTCTCTCTGATACCAACAGTTCACGAACTCTACGATAACGCAAAGAGAATTCCTGTTTCTTGGTAGATATTGGTGATTTATAAAGGTAGATGTTGAGCCTAAAAGCAGATCCCCCGCTTTTATCAATATAATTCACTGATATACTTTTCCTCATTTTCTCCCCTGCAGTCAACTATATAGGATTCAAATGTTGTCAACCTCTTATGCTGTATTAAATGCATTCTTAGGCATGGTACAGTAAAAATAACCCTTTCCATTAACACGATTAGAAAGATATTGCTAAACAGCTTCATGGTTCATGATAGTAGGCTCCTGGTGTGTTTATAACGTATCTCAGGAGGCAAAGCACATCCAAAGGAAACACCCACAAAAAATACTGTCATGCTTTGGTAGCTCAAGTAGTTACAAAAGGTAAGGTATGAGAAATATAATTCTTTGATCAGTTCTGATTTTATCAATCAAACATTTATGTTCATAAAACTCCTTTGAAGATCTGCCCCCCACCCTCTCCGGTATTCTTTCTATGAAGAAAAGGATTTTGATTTGAGAATTGGGTGAAATTACAAAGGAAGTCCCGGCATCCTTGAGCTGCCTCTTCTTGACAAAAAGCAGGGTATTCAGGCCAGTCTGGGATCAACTGGCCCTGCGCCAGGAAATGCTGCAGCATCATATTACTGGGAGATGTGTGAGAGTTTTAAATTACCCACTTGGCCTGATGGATATAATGTGCTTATGTGTTTCTCAAAAGCTCAGCTTCCTGTTAATTGAGAGTGGCAAACACACTAATGCTTTCCAAACATATCTGATCTTTGTTTATTTGTTTTGGGGGAGTTTACATTTATGTGGGAAACCCGCTCTTAGAAGTTTTTTTTCTAGTCAGAAACTTTGAATTCTCTGATTATGTGTTTTAAGAAAGAAAAATAACTGCTAGCTAATCATCCAGTTAGCATCTCTAAATCATCTGGAATCCTTTGGGAGAAAAAGTATGTGACTTGCACACATATCTCTTAGATGCCAGGGCGTTATGGAAATAGCAATCATGTGGAAGTCCAGAAACATGAGTTCAAATCCCAAGTCTACCACTAAATAGTCTAAAAGTATTTGGGAAAGTGGTCTCACCTTCCTGAGCCTCAGGTTACCCATAGGCAGAGTGACATAACAATTTCAACTACGGAGTTGCCTAGAGACCAACCTCTCTCCTACCTCTTTGGCAGTTCTATAACCCAGAAAGAAAAGAATATCAAACTGCCAAAGAGGAAACACGACCCCTCCTTTTCCTCCTCTTTAACTTGTTCTTTCCATTCTTTACCTCAAATAATCCTCTCATCTTAGCCCTATTTATTGTGCTGTTTATGAGTTCATATTCCTCTCAGCAGAACCTTGGCATTTTATTTTATTTTTATTTTTATTTTCAAACTAAGCATTTATTCTTTTATTTCCTTTTATTAAATCACAGCTGTCGACATTAATGCATTTGTGGGGTACAATGTGCTGGTTTTATTTACAACTTGGAATGTTTATATCAAACTGGTTAACATAGCCTTCACCTTACTTTCTTAACTATTGTGTTAAGACATTTATAGTCTACACTTAATAGATTTGACATGACTTCCATTGAAAGATATAACACAATTATAGCCCAAGAGGAAGGGGGGAAGAGGAAGGGGAAGGGAGTGGAGGGGGGAGGATGGGTGGAGGGAGGGTAACCGGTGGGACCACACCTCTGGGGCATTCATTTTGCAAGGGTACATGTCAAATCTATTAAGCATTTATTCTTTTAAAGTCACTAAACAGGATAACAAGGTATCAAATTTCAACTTAAACTTTAAAGTCAGAACCATCAAGTTACTTAAGTTTCTTGAATGATGTAAGCATATTCTCTAGTCTTTGTGTTTATTCATTTCTCTCTCTTTCTCTCTCTCTTACTCTCTCTCTAGCTTTCACTCTTTCTTTATATATACATATACAGTAGAACCTCTATAAGTTGACCACCCAAGGGACTGTAAGAAACTGATCAACATATGGAAGTGGTCAATTTAAGGAACTAGGCCTTCTGTACTGACACGTACATGTAATGCACGTCTGATCTATAAAAATTAGGTCAGTTTAAAGGAGATGGTCAGTATAGGGAGGGGGTCAACTACAGAGCTTCTACTGTATATGTTTTCTCTTTTTTCTCTTTTTCCTTTATTAAATCATAGCTGTGTAACTGTAATGCATTTATATGGGGTACAGTATACTGATTTGATATACAATGTGGAATGCTTACATTGAACTGATTAACATAACCATCACCTCACTTCTTTGTTGTGGTAAGACATTTATACTCTTAATAGTTTTGAAATGTACCATTGCATTATGCACATTAGGTGAGCTCCCACCAAATACCCTCCCTCCTTCCGGTCTCCCCTCTCCCCTCCCTTCTCTCTTCTCTTCCCTCCTTCTTTCTAGACTATACTTATGTTTTACCATTCATATGAATGTGTAAGGACCTTGGTATTTCAACAGAAACTGAGAGTGCCTATGTATATACAGGCTTGCCAGTCCCTGTGGTTTATTTCTGTGTGATTCCAGATATTGTTGCCATTTCAAAGGAGAGCTACATGGGGGGAATCAGAAAGTTTAAGGGTTTTACATGATAAAAATGAAAGCCACAAGATCAATTTTTACCGTTCTAGAAAACAGGTTAAGGGAATTTTATGGAAACATATTGACCAATCTTCGTTGGGAGGCTGGGATAAGACTGGGGCAGCAATTCTCATACTACAAGTTTATTATTTTATTCTTTAGTGCTTTTATTACACAATAAATAGAAAAAAAGATGGAACCTGGCACTGAGGTTTTCAACTGGACAAATCAGGCTCCATTCCTTTTCCCTCATAAGACAAATAGGTTTCTAGGGATTTATTTTCTCGTGGTTGAATGTTTATAAGTAAATCCGCTGGAAAATGTTAGGGAAATACTAAAGAATGTTCTGCAGCTGCCAGCCATTTCTCTGAGATTTCAAACTTTTTTTTTTTTTTTTACAAGATATGTTATAAATACCGAAGATTTTAGGGAACAAAAGGTAATTTACAAGCAAAAACCAAATCAACTTGGAGACACTACAGAGGGCAGTGCATTGTCTTGTATTTACTTCATAAGTATTTTTAAAGTCTATCCACAATATAGCTAAATATGAACATAGTAGCCCATGTTTTCTGTGGTGTCTTAGAGAATAAGCTAGGAAGGAAGGTGTGATAACTGAGTAGATATATTTGGTTACCTAGTCATCTTAGCTAAGAGACTTATTTTCCTATATTCCCAGGTCATTAAGTCTGGGTGGTTGTGGAAAATGACGGAGAGAACTAAACTATGATAGGAAGTTAACCCCCTAATTGATTTTCATGTCAATTAGCCCTTTCCTAATTCATTGTCCCAAAGAAGTGAAAGGTATCCTTTTGTCACTGAATTTCAGAGCAGGAAATTTTTGTATTTTTAATTCTTAAGTCTTCCTTTCTTTACATTCTACAGATATATTTTACTTTGGACAATGAGAATATTTCTATGGCCGGGCGTTGTGGCGGGCGCCTGTAGTCCCAGCTACTTGGGAGGCTGAGGCAGGAGACTTGCTTGAGCCCAGGAGTTGGAGGTTGCTGTGAGCGTGATGCCATGGCACTCTACCCAGGGGGATAGCTTGAGGCTCTGTCTCAAAAAAAAAAAAAAAAAAGAAATATTTTTAAAAAGTTTTTTTTTTAAATTGAACTTTTATAAATACCATAAGAGACTTTTAAAATTTAAAATAAAATACAATTTAAAGCTAGTAGGAACTCAAAGGAGCTCAGTGGAAAATCTAGCTGTCAAGTGCAGAATCACTTCCTGGGTCATCTCATATCACCTTTGACTTCGTTCTGCACTATTTTATATTCATCATTGGTTATATTATTCATGTATGTTGTTTTTATTTCCCTGTGTGTAAGTGCCTATAACTGTAACACTGAAATGCATAAATCGATGCTATGTTCATTGAAAATTCCCAACAATTCGAGTTATGTTTTTTTTTTTTTTTTTTTTGGTTTTGCAGTTTTTGGCCAGGGCTGGGTTTGAACCCACCACCTCCACCTTTGAGGCATAGGTGCCGCCACCTCAAGTTATGCTTTTATAAGTTAATATTTTAAGATATTTTTAGTGAATTGGGTATATATACACCAATGCATGTTTTTTTTTTTTTCAAATTACCAAGAAGAAGAGAGTTTTTTCTAGATTGGCTAAGAAATAAGAGTTATAGAAAAATAATCACAATCACTTGGTTGTCAATGTATGCACAAACATAGGTGAAGCTTAGGGAAGGAGAATTGCATCCCATTTCACACCACTAAAATGGATGTTCAGGGAATGAAGAGGGATGATGTTTGTAAATTAGGGTAAAAAGTGGATGGCACTCTGAGTAATTCAAATAAGAGGTCAGGTAAGGAAGATACTTTATGAAAATACCTTCCATTTGTAGCTTTTTTCCACGAAAGGCTATCAAGAACTTTGTGTGTATTATCCCATTTAATCCTGCTAATGTTTCCAGCAGATAGGTAATGGCTACCATCTTCCATCATTTTTTAAAAACTAAATTGAATCTTATGAAGATTAAGTGAATTTTCTTACTCTGAGAGATTAGTGCTAAAACCTAGACCTGGGTATCTTAATGCACAGGATAGGTGCTCTTTTCTGACTAATACCCCACTATCTTCTGCTAGAGCTATCTCTTGAAATTATGTATTGCACCTCAGTGATACCATCTAATCAGATGGCTTCCATTATCAGTATGTGGATAATTCTTAAAAACAATACCTTTAGATATGACTTTCCCCCTGAGCACCAGACTCAGATCTCCATTCTGAGCAATCTTACGCAGCCATAAAAAGATGTGCTTTATATATTGTTTATATTTGTTTACTAATATAGAAAGATGTGCTTTATATATTGATTAAAACATGAAACTTGCAGAATAGTGAGAAGAATATGACCTTGTTTAGATTTTTTAATGTCATCTCTCTCTCTCTCTTTCTTGCTCTTTGTGTATATATGTTGATCATATCTTTATCCATTTATCTCTGTCACTTCTGTAGCTAGTCCATCAGCATATACAAGTGTCTAAAAGCATAAAGACTAAACTATTACTAATATTGGTTATACTTTAAATGGGGAAATTGTATGGTATAGGAATTATACCTTAATAAAACTGGTACAAAACAAAATGAAAAAGTAATGACTCCATCCAGTAAAAACTTTGCACAATGGCCAGAGCTGCTTGTTCAGGGACCACACTTTGAGAACCACTGAATTAAAAGATCTTCACTTTACCCTTTTGTCACCCAAATTACTAGTTAATGAGATATCTTCATTCATTGATAATTTCAGTAGAGATTATATTGTAAATTGCTGTGAGGTGTAATGAGTTGTCATAGAATTCTCCTTTCATCTACTATAGTTTAGGGATACATTGACATTAAATAACACAGCTTAGGAGTTTTGCTGTGTGTTTTCCTTACACAGGATGAAGAAGAAGATCTTAGGACTGAACTCAACCTCCTGAGGAAGTACTCTTTCCACAAAAACATCGTGTCCTTCTATGGAGCATTCTTCAAGTTGAGTCCCCCTGGCCAGAGGCACCAACTTTGGGTATGTTTCTAGTTAACCCTGATCTTATCCTGTCTTACTCAAGGACATGTGTTTTCATGAGCTGAGATGTCACTTTTGTGCACTTGTATGAAAACTTAAGCACTCAGCTGCTCAAGATAGTATGGCAACATGTACTATGAGAGACCCTTTATCAAAAAAAGTACTCTGAGTTCTCAAGAAAGGAGTGATAAAATAGGCAAAAATAACTTAAGTGACTTATGGGTGCCATGGGAGAGGACTCAAATGAACACTGGAGATCTGGAAATATCTAATATAAATATTTTTAAATATAGATTTGTTGCATTTAATTTTATGTAATTACCACTATTGCTGGTACAGCAACTACCTGATGGAATAGTAAATAATGAATGGGTAAGGATTAATTCTAATTAGTACTTGACATGAACATATGAGTGCATTTTAAATGTTCCAAAAATATATGCACTTATATATAAATGTAACTCTTAGAAACTCTTTTCTAGGTAGTTAATTGATTTAACCTTTTCTTACACATCATACTGGGAGTATCACAAATTCCAGATAAATGAGCCATAAATTTTAGAGGCTAACTGGGACAGATGCCACCTAAGCTACAATTACCAGAATTTTTGCTACCCCCCACTATAAGAGAAATAGTTAAATCACAAAGAAATGAGCTTTGGTCAAGGATGTCTTTATTAAAAAGGGAATATTTAGAACATAAGCTGGGGTCAGTATGCACTTGATTTCTATGCTTTGTACATTTCAATTTTCAGTCCAAGTTAATAATAGAGTTTTTCCCAAAATAATGACTGAAAATTTCAGGATCTTCCAGTGTCAGTGACAGATTCTGTTGCATATATACCAAGGACTTGAGGAAGTAGGAGAGTGGACATTATAAAATGGTTTCCAATAAGGAGTTGAATTGAAGCAGTGGTTTTCAAACTTCAGTATCCATTAGAATCTCCTAGAGAGCCAGATAAAGCACAGATTACTGGGCACTCAATGAGTTTCTGATTCAGTAGGTCAGGGATGTGAATCTAAGAATTTGTACTTTCTAGTAAGTTTATAGGTGATGCTTCTGCTGCTGGGCTGAACACCGTACTGTGGAGAACTACCAGATTTAGAGATGTTCAACTTAACCCTTTGAACATGCATCCTGCATTCTCTTAGAATTCCAGTTGAGATTTTTAAAAATATTGCTGCACAACTTAGTTACTATTTGTTTTGCATAACACCATTTGTCTTTTTCATGCATTTTCACTTACACATATGTTTCCCTTTTGACAGTAGGGTGAATTATGAGAAATGTTGCTGTCTTCATACTGGATATATATTAATAGTGCTCAGTTCATCTGGTCATTCAATATATATTAGTTGAAACCCACCTATTTGCCAGGCATTCTGCTAGATGCTAGGGATACAATAGTGAGCTGAGCAGACATGTATCTGGTCCATTAGAGCTTACAGTCTATTTGGAAAGATCAATATCATTCAGATAATCACAAACATGAATGTATAGTTGGTCATAAGGGAAATAATGCAGCTCTATGTCAGTGGATAACAAAGGAACCTAAAGTAAGCTGGGAAATGAGAAACTCTTCCTTGAGGAAGTAAAAGCTTAAACTGGGATCTGAAGGATGAATAGGCACTTAATGTATAAATTATTTGATGGAGATAAGAGTTTCCATGGGACCATTCACACTTTCTTGCTCAGGTAAGTCAGGAAAACAAATATGAAGTAAATAAATAGCTAAATAATTACCACTTGTAAAGTGTATGCCCAGTACATACACTTTATAAATGATAATTATTTAGTTATTTATTTACTGGGAAAAATGATTGAGAGCGCCTCACATTCCTTTCGTAGGTGAGCTCTTTTGATTCACATACCATTAGCAAAATCTTTCAGGGTTGTAATAATTGAATGGCTTTAATTCAGGTGTGTCATGGTTTAAAATAAGTCCCTTTTCTTTCATTACCACAGTGTATATGTCGTGCCCATTCCATATAGTCAATGCTCTGCATGAAAATGAACTCGTTTGTAGTTTGTCTGAGTTGTAGTTTTGTTTGGTTGCCTCTTCTCTTCTTTCTGGTGAAAGTATACTCAAGAGAAAACATGCAGTAATATCAGTGATGAACAACTGTAAATTAGTGAAGTAGTTTTCAAAGAAGAAAATGTTAATATTCCAAAAGGAAACAGGTGTACTTTCTGAGTAGTTATGATTTAGGGCTTATCCCTTTGCTCCTTTCTTACATGGTGATAACTTGCCTAGGAGTTTTTTTTTTAAGTTTTATTCTTTTGATAAAGTGGTTTTGATGCGGGCAGTGATATATAAACCTGCACTTAAAGAAAGATTTGCTAAGATGATTATAATAGTTATATTCTCCTTACATTAGTCTGTCCTCTAGTTAGCTAATATTGTTTGGAAGAAAATTTACTAGTTCAGCATTTAATACATGGGTGGCAAAAATAAACTCCTGGGAAACTGAGTTTATTAACACAATAAAATCTGAATGAAATATTATCAAAGATACTAGCTTCAAAGTAGGCTTTCCTTAGCTGTAACCCAATTTGGAAGAAATTATCCCACAGGCATGAAATTAACAAATTCTCCTTTGGAATTGTAGTTTGCCAGTTTCTGGGGGAAAATAATCTGGAAATTGAAAACAAAAACAAAACAACAAACAAATGAACCTGGTCTCAATGTGGAAATGTAATGTCTTTTGAGACCCTCCATATCCTGCTTCTCCACCCCCAATAAAATTGTTCCCTCAACTATACTTTCCTTTCTACTTCAGTCATCCCTCAGGCTTATTTCTTGCACAAGCTTCTTTCTAAGGGCATGTGTTCATCCTGTTTTCCACAAACTGAATGTTATTCCTTCTAAGCATATCCAAACACTACCTATCCTTCAAGGCTTAGCTCAAATCCCACCTCCTGGTTAAATATTCCCAGTGTGGTACCTGGCTTCTGTCCCTCTACAAATCTTTGGGTTTCATCCAACTCTTTCTAATTCCACGAGCCTTTGGAGTCTTCTACCAGATGATTGAGCTAGTCTTTGCAGTGCCTTAATCTCTAAACATTACATATAAATACACAGCCGTATGGACTAGAACTCTCCAGATATTTTCAGAGAATTATTTTCTAATTATTGATACTTTACTCACTTCCCTGCAGATGGTCATGGAGTTATGTGCAGCAGGCTCAGTCACTGATGTAGTGAGGATGACCAGAAATCAGAGTTTGAAAGAAGACTGGATTGCTTATATCTGCCGAGAAATCCTTCAGGTAAGTCTTTATATGGTCATTCTTCCCTGAACTTGAAAAAAACTTGTACAGTGTACATTATACCCGCTCATATCTGATGGTCTGGGAATTCTAAAGATAACCTCTGTATTAGGATTCTTAAAAATGCCAAAAAAAGCTGTGGAGAAAGACTTTCAAGTGATGGCCTTAAACTTTAAGGTAGACCACAAGCTGGGCAACCAAGTCCTTCTAAGTTATGGCCTTCCATGGCTCTGTCAGATTCAGACTACCATGTTCAATGGATCATGGAAATGACCACTTGGGTTATTTATTATGTTATTATGATTTTTAGAGTCCTCTAAAACAATCACATCACACTATCCTCCTAGGTTAGGATGAAGGTGAATCAGGAGAAGTCAGTGTTCTACAGAAAGGCTCTAAACCATCTGCAGACTTTTACAGACATCTTCTCAGAATAGTGCCCCATTTTTAAATTGCCTTTATTTCCTCTGCCCCATTGGCTGAGAGCAATAATTTTATTGATCTACAAAACTAAATTTTTTTTGTATGTGGCTTAACTGCTGATTAAGAGAAAGATATTAACAGAACTGAATAGCACCATTCATGCAAAGTTTGAATGTCCTTCCTCCCATTTTGGTCGGATGCATTGTGATAATATAGTCAACGGTCAAGAGTGAAAATTCTGCACTGAGTTGTAAGTCCTGGCTCACCATGCATTAGTTGTGTGACCTCGATCCAGTTACTTAAATTTTTAAAGTTTTACTTTTCTCATCTATGAAATGGGGTGACATTAACATCTTCCTTAAAGGGTTGCTGAGAGGAATTCATAATTTATTCTGTATAAAGCACTCAGCACAGTGCCTGGCAAAGAATAGGGCTCAATAAATTTTAGGTGTTTTTATTGTTACTTCAATTGTAAATCCCCAGTTAGTGTCTGGAGCACTCGCAGCACAGCCTAACATTGCATACCATGTTGCGGTTTAGCCAGGTCACAGGTTAGTTTTAGTGGTGAATGAGCCGTAGCCAGCATGGCAAGCCAACACAAATTGCAAATGCTTTAAAATGAATTTCCATATCCCTCCAAATTCTCAGCCTACAAGGCTGATTAGAAAATATTTTGGACTAAACAAATGGTTGGATGAAGAATAGAGCAAAACTATGGCTGAGCTATGTTATTTAAGATCTCCAGGTCTTATGGTTAGTTGGAAATATGGAGGGTAGAAAGGAAGATGAAGTGACCCAATGTATACAAATATTACATTTTGGTGCTCTTTTTCTTTCATGGGTGTCCTGATTTATTTTCCTTCTCTCAGAGCCAAAAGTCATATTTCTGGGAAATGGTTATAGTAATTCCAGCCTAAAGAAAGAATTTCGTCTGAAAAATCAAATCTAGGCCATTCCTCTTACCAGAGTCTTTCCAAAAATACTAAGAACGGTACCAGAAAAGAGGAAAAATAAACATATATTGATGTGGCTTCTTATATGTGTGTGTATGTGCATATAAAATCTGTATACATGTGTATGTACATATGTATGTATTTACAGGGCTTAGCTCACCTTCATGCACACCGAGTCATTCACCGAGACATCAAAGGTCAGAATGTGCTGCTGACTCATAATGCTGAAGTAAAACTGGGTAAGTTTATTTTTACAGTATTTTAGGTGAGGGCCAAAACATCTTAATGGAGAAAACTCCTTTAAGATAACTGTGCTTTTTATTATGTCCCTGCCAAAGCCTCTATTATTTGATCTGGATCTTCCCTGTCTGCAAAACCAGTCAAAATTTGAAAATTAGTTTGGGAGTAGGGGGGAAGGGGCAAAAGAAAAATGAGGCACCTAACTGCTGCTTTGAAATCACGTAGACTTAAACAACTTTATAGTGGGGAGTTTCTTTCTAGTTGTCACTTTGCCTTCTATTAGAAATAGCTATTATATTTATCTCAACAATTGAATTTTTAACCATGGGCAAGTTTTGGTGCCATGGGCAGGGATGAAAAAAAAGAGAAGAAAATTCTTTCACATCATAGAGCTGTATTTGCCCAAGAATGTCAAAGAACATTTCAAGTGTATGAGCATGAATTGCTTCTTTGGGTTTTTTTTTTTCCCAAATATTTAAAGAAATGATATTAATCAAAAATAATGCTCCAGTAACATCCAAATAAAATTAAGAATAAGAAATCAAAACACCAGCAAGTCCCTGGCTGTCTATTCCAGGGTTCAAAGTGGAATAATTTATCTGAAAATAATGGCACATATTGTCTCTCAAGCACACAGGAAACACCGAACATTTAAAATAAATATCGATGGTGAGTTTTTCCGTCTTACCATATAAATAATTTCAGTACTGTGTGATGATGGACAACCCTATTGATACAGAATATGAATCACTTACATCGATTTTTAATTATATCAGCTCTTTTTTTTTTTTTCTGAGACAGAGCCTCAAGCTATCCCCCTGGGTAGAGTGCCGTGGCTTCACAGCTCACAGCAACCTCCAACTCCTAGGCTCAAGCGAGTCTCCTGCCTCCGTCTCCCAAGTAGCTGGGACCACAGGCGTCCGCCACAACGCCCGGCTATTTTTTGGTTGCAGCCATCATTGTTGTTTGGCGGGTCTGGGCTGGATTCGAACCTGCCACCTTAGGTGTATGTGGCTGGCGCCTTAGCCACTTGAGCCACAGGCGCCGAGCCTATATCAGCTCTTTATTAACATATCTTTTCATATGATTGGAAGATATTTATCCTTTTCTTGCTAAATGGATAGAACCAGAGTAGAGATTTTCTTTATTCATTGAAAACATTTTTTTTTCTTTTACTGAGTATTTGTGGGAGAAGCATGAGGTAGTAATTGTTCTTGAAATAAGTGAAAGTAGTTTCAAGAAAATGTATTAGCTATTTTGTTTCTAAAAACTACCAAGCTAGGGCAGCGCCTGTGGCTCAAAAGGGTAGGGCACCAGCCCCATATGCTAGACGTAGTGGGTTCAAACCCAGCCCTGGCCAAAAAAAATGCAAGAAAAAAAAAAAAAACTACCAAGCTAGAAACACAATTTCCAAGTATACAAGAGGCATACACATTTCACATATAAATGTGCAGGATCGATAGTCCACCACAAGACTAAAACACTTTGTTCACATATAGAGTAACACTCTTATATACTTGGGTCAAGTTGCTGCCCAATCTGGACATTTGCAGCGTGGTAGATAAATTGTTAGTAGCTGAAAAGCTACTGAAATATCTGTCACGATGTCCATGCACTGAAGCTCCTGTACTATACTCTGGAGGAGAGACCTTTTAGTGCTGGATTAGAATTTAATCAGGCTTATTTTACACATAATCCTTATATGATTTGTTTTACATTTCTCAGATCATAGCTATTTTTAGGCAGCGTATTATAAGGAGAAGGTTGCGGAAGGCAAAACTTATGACAGCCAAAGGAAGTGACAGAAAGGGAAGAGACAGGGAAATGATTATATTGCAATTGCAATTGTTTAATAATCTTCATATTCCAATCTCTGATGTCATTAAAGAAAGGTTAAATTATGCCATTGCTGAGTTTTCACCTCTAACTTTTATCTAATTTTCAGCTTTTCTTCTTTTTTATTTTCTTTCATTCATCGCTCTTCTAGTTTTTTCTCCTATAATTTTCTTCCCTGATATATGCCATATATTATTGTATGGCCTTCATAACTATTTCTTGGCCCTTAAAATTGGCCCTCAGGGATAGTGAAAATGCCAAACCGTGATTTAACCTATTTCTAAAAAAATATATAGCTAGGTAATGAGATTGTACGATACTCAATGGGGACCGTCACGGTATTGTGAACATTTTTTTATTGTTGTTTTGGTTAGAGACTTTCTTCAAGACTCCCTTAAACTCTCAGGTTTTTTTTTTCCTTTTCCATTTCTGCTCCTAAATTCTTCAAGCTGCTTTTCAGTCAGTTTTGTTCGCCATCCTCTGGATTCCTGGAAACCATTCTAAATTAGAAAATCTACTTCATTTTTCATCTCTGTCTTATTTTTTCTGGAATAAATAACTCCTGTCTACTTTAGACTTTTTCTGTTTCTGAGGATACCATACTAAATATTTTCTTATAATGTATCCCACAGATGAATAGAAAGCTGAACTTTTACAGTCTAAGCTAACATATGGATACCACGGTACATATCTGCATCTGATAGAGAAGATCTGTGCAAGAACTTAAACTAAATTCTAACAGAAAAAAATTAGTCTTCTTTATCAGTATGATAGGACCGTCTAAAGTCATGAGTAGGACTTCCTGATCAACTGCTAATAGGTTTTAGATTTCTTTGATTTTGCTTATAGTCCTGGTCTTCGCCCAGCTTGGTGGCAGGTCCAAACGCTACATATGTTATCACTTCAGAAGTTTAGGGTGTACTGATGGAACTTCATTTTTAATATTCATGGTAAACATTCAGCCAAACCTACTGTAGATTTATAATAGCACTTCTGAGTCTCATTCCAACATAAATAGCAGCAAAAGCTTATTTCCCAGTATTCCTGGAGTAGACTTCATGGTGAAGTTTGCTGGGCTGGAATAAAAATCTGTTATCCATTGTGGCTTTTGTATTGGCTTTCCAAGTTAAAGCAATAACTTATTGAGCTTTTTGTCCCTGATTATTTTGACATATGCCGAATTTTGCAGTGGATTTTGGAGTGAGCGCCCAGGTGAGCAGAACTAATGGAAGGAGAAATAGCTTTATTGGGACACCGTACTGGATGGCACCTGAGGTGATCGACTGTGATGAGGACCCAAGACGCTCCTATGATTACAGAGTGAGTGTGAAGTTTCGGACAGTGGGAATCAAAATTTGGAAAGGATTTTTGATTAACCTTTATTTTAATAAAATAAAAGAATAAAAGGCAGGCTGCCCCTCCTTTCAAAACTCTAATCAGAACCACTAGCCTTTATTCCTATATGTGGTTTGATTACATGCATAAAATAATATTTTCTGAGAACGTAGACAGAGTACATTGGGGAATTACCCAGATTTGAGGCAGAATGTCTAGTCTCTGTTGCTTGCAATTTCTTAGTAAAAATACTATATTATGTGGCTTTATATGAACATTCAACTACCATGGGCAGTGGGCTTTGTAAACTTAAAATGAATAAATGTAAAGCCAATTATTAATCCCCACAGTAACTTAGCTCCAAAATGAAAATAATAATAATAATAATTTGATTACTCAGGGTAATAGACAAAATCCTTGGCATGGTTCACGTCTAAAACCACAGAAAATCAGTGGAATAGACAAATTAAGTAACAATTCATGCTATTTATTAAAGTTTCCACTGAAGCTGCAATTTGGACAATATACATCTATGTACACATTTCAAAAAGCTGATGTGGAAAGAAAACTCTCCATTTGCTATAGACTGGAAAAACCTCACTCTCTCCACATCATAAGTCATCCAAACAATTCATTGTGGTCTCCCTATGTGGAACCTAGGACTCGAGACTTGAAGTTGATTAATTTTAGTTGCATCTCTTTTCCCTTTCCTTAAATGCCCTCTGCTTGATCTGCAAAATAATTACTTATGAGAGCCTATTACATGTTCAGTGCTATGTTAACTGCTATGAACACTATGGAAGCTTAAAGTTCTTCAAGTGCCTTGATGTAAAAACAATGCTTTATGGCTCCATATATTTTTTGTAGTCTTTCAAAGACTTTTACCTGTATTGGTAATTTTTCCTTTTTAACCCCATGTAGCTAAAAAAAGCTTAAGCTTAGGCTGTCACAACTGAAGTTAAGAGATCTATAACCTGGGGTTCTAAGAACTCAATTAACTTGTTTAGGAACCATTGACTAGTCAGCATACCTCTTAGTCCTGTGGCCTTGCTACACTCTGTGAGACAAATTACTGTACAGTTGATAGTAGTGAGAATAATTTTCTAGAGCCTTATTATAATTCTAGCCTCAGTTTACTACATTTCAGGAAATGCTAAAACACATACATACAGGCAGACACACAAGTGCACACACACACCCATGGGCCCACACACACATACCCCAGGGCTAAGTTAGTAGATACTGTTATCCTGAATTTCCATAGTGTGAACTTGTATAGAGAGTTAAACCGTTTTCTCGGGATCACACAGATGGCGGATCTATGTAATAGGAATTCTTTATGGCAGATTTCTTTTGGTATTTCAGGGAAGGCAACAATAGCAATATATGCAAGATGCACTTGGCTTGCACTCAACCCCATCCTCTATCAATCTATGGTATAGTGTGGTACTGGCTGGTCACAAGCTTAGATAAAATTTTCCTTTAAAGTCAGTCTATAATGAAACTTCATTATAGAAAACTCATAAAATGGCTCTGGACTTGACACCCCCCCCACTCTTAACCACAGATTGTTTGAGACTTTAAATAATAACAATTTCCTGTTTTTAACTGCCCTTTCTTGTGTGCCATTGTTTCTTTTGCAGAGTGATGTGTGGTCTGTGGGAATCACTGCTATTGAAATGGCTGAAGGAGCTCCTCGTGAGTAAAAATGTTGAATATTTTTTGAAGTTTAGGAAAATGCACTCTACAAATCTGTCTCTGGGGAAGCAGATGAGGCTTTCAGTGGCCACACAGGTGTCACACTTTGTGCCAAACTACGATTGGTGGCCTTTCCAGTGATAATCAAATGCTTTTGTCGGAATGGCTAAATATGAGTATATTAATATAAAAACAGTTTGCGCTTTGCTTTTCTTTCTTGTGATATCTTATTTTAGGCTGACTGAGTGTCGTTTCAGGTTGGCCTCAGTAGTTTTCAGTCCTGTCAGTCTGATCTGGAATCCTTGGCACACTAATCTACGTTGTCTGGTGGAATATTTAGGTTCCAGAACATTTAAAGTCACACACTGTTACTGCATCGGGCTGTGAGAGTTGAGAAAACACTCCACAGGTTCATTGAAACTGAGCCAATCCTCAGTATTCCTCAGCAATGTTAGGGAGTAAAAGCATTTTTACCTTTGGAGTCAGTCCAGCTCACCCTTGGTGTGCCCTCTTTGCTCCTTTCAGCCACATCAGTGCCCTAAACTATTTTCTCTTGTTTCCCCCACCTGTCAATGACCTGTCAGCATCTTGTTCTCTCAAGGCACTGCTTTCTGGTAGGAAAGTAAAAATGGAGCATGAACTTGGACATAGATCTGTGTTTTTCAACCTTTTTTTAATCTCATGGCTCACTTGAATCTATAGTTAAACTTCCATGACACACTTAAATTATGTTGATCAAAAAAAAAATAAGAGTCAAGAAAAGAATATACTTTACTCACCGTGCTTTGAACTCTTTTTCAAGACTAATTTAGTTCATGATCTTTAAAAATTTTCATGGCACATCTAAGATCCTCATCACAGCACGTCAGTGTGTCGTGGCACACCAATTGAAAATCGCTAGTGGTTAGTTGATAACCAAATAATTAATGTATGACTCTGGAGCGTAGCATATTTGCTGTCTTCAATGCCTAAATCTGAACATGAAATGACAGTGCATTCCCGGTAATGTTGAGTGAGAAGTGAGAGAAATTTCTAAGGGCTGTGGGTGGGATTACTATGCTTCCCCCTCTCCAAGCAGATCCTACAGATTCCCATCTTCCTCTGTGATCTCTCTGTACAAGGTCCACCCACCAAGCTTGGTAAACTTGAACTGTCTTAACCCTGTGTTTCAAGCCCAGTAAGAGGAATTTCAAGAAGTAGAAATAGTGGTAGCACAATTGTTGAGAATTCCTGGTGTCCCTTGGAATATTAAAAGGGGGCTGGGACAAAGCTGGGACAGATACGGAGATCAGGCTGCTATGAACCTCTATTCTAGTGCCCAAGAAACTGCAAAGCACTTAAGTTGGGTGAATAAAAAACCAGTGATGGAAGAGGTTATAATGTAAAATTTGTATATGATACATACAAAAAATTTAAACAAGACCAGGGAGATGTGAACTATTCTTCATCATCTGATAATTTCTGTTTGGGAAACATAGTTAGATGATGTTAGATCAGGCAACAGCAGCCCCTGCTCCTCCCTCTAATACTTCTTTTCCTTCTCTTTCTCTGTCTTCTCCTCTCTTCTCTCTCTTTAAATACACAATATGATATTTCATATTACCATTGATGCATATATCTGGTTGGGATACATGCCTGCATCAAGTAGTATTCTTTTTTTCCATTATTTCAAACCAGCTTTCTACGTGTTACAGGTTTGTTTGTACTTCTTGGTTCACCTTTTTTCTTTCACTATGTGTCATTCTGAATATTAAGTTATGGGAGAAGAAAAGTTGATGAGCAAACTCACAGGAGTACAGAGAAAGCGTTTTGCAAAGAGTACATGAATGGCAAACTGTATATAATAGTTGAGCAGGGACCAGGAGGTTCTGAACTCACAGGGAGGGAAAATAGGACCAGCCTGCCTAGTAAGTGTTTGGAATGGTACAACTGTGGGCATCAGTAACTCTAGGGAGCCTGCCTACTAAAACATTTCTCTTCCACCAGCCTCCTTACTGCCAGGAATATGACCTTTGCATAGAAACAATTGTGATCAGTTTAACTGCAGAAATCCTCAAGGTTATGATAATTAACATCTCAAAGAGGAGGTCTTCCAAAGTGACAAATATCTGATAGTAAATATCCTCTGAGATCCAGATAACAAAATTCTCTTTCTTTGGTTTTTCTCTGGTGATTTTTTTCCCAGAGAAGTGAAGAGAGGAAGAATAACTTCTCATTCATTGTAGGGGCACCAAAACGAGAGAACCGGACCCTTGCACACCAGGATCTGCTTCAGTCTGTGGGTTCTGAGCAGGAATTCAAATAGTATGGGAACCTTTCATCCAAGGCCAGGACATAGCAAGTAGTTATTCAAATACCAGAGTATTGTAAGCTGATTTTGAATAGATGTGGTTAGAATAGGATAGATAGCTTCTTTGTTTTTTATGGAAAAGAGAGAATCTTTGCCTGGATGAGAAGCAGGATAGGGTCAACAGTTTACTCTGATTCCCCTTCCTTGTCAAGGGTCAACAGTTACTCTGACTCTACTTCTTTGCAAGTGATCTCCACAGTATCAAGAAGAATGCTTGAAAGATATCTTTCCCTGTTGGGGCATTCTTCTTGATACTGTGCAGATCACTTTTAAAATTGTCAATGATGTTTCTTTATAGTCTTATTTTTTCTTGTGTGTCCTTCTCTCCCACCTCATGCCAATCTTTTTCTTATTAAGTAATATACACATAGATCATGAATACATTTATGCATATGTGGGTTACAATGTGTTGATTTTTTTATACAATTTGATGTGCTTACATCAAACTAATTAATATAGCTTCTACCTCATTTACTTGATTATTGTGTTAAGACATTTATGTTCTACACTTGATAGATTTGACTTGGATTAATACATTGTGGCATATGTATACCATGGAATACTATGCAACCTTAAAAAATATGGAGACTTTACCTCTTTTATGATTACATGTATGGATCTGGAACATATTCTCCTGAGTGAAGTATCTCAAGAATGGAGGAAAAAGTATCCAATGTGCTCAGTACTTCTATGAACCAACTTACATTTACTCACACTTTCTTATGAAAGAGAGAACACAACTATAGCCCAGGATGAAGGAGAGAAATGGAGTGCAAAGGGAGAGGTTTGATAGAGGGACGGTACATGGCGGGACTACACCTATGGAACCCTATATTGCAAGGGTACAAGTCAAATCTATCAAATGTAGAACATAAGTGCCTCATGCTAATCTTTACCTGAGTGCCTTTTTCAGACCTACCCTTATCCCATCAAGGAGCTCATTCTTTTGATGTTCAGAAGAGTCCTTCAGATCTCAATGTGTGTTAGGAATAAACCACATTATTTAACCTAATTCAAACTAAGCCCAGTTTAATATATGTGCAACCCTCCAAGAGATGTGTTTTTAAAGGAGGTTTACTATTTCAAAGGAATGAACTTCTAATGATGAACATTTAGGCAGTGTTATGAAATATGGGCTGCAGGGGGCATTTGTCTACATTCCTAAAATTAGAACATATAAGACACCATCCACAGCTGCTGTTGACATAGCTCTTGTACCCACCCTATGCTCCATTCCTTTGTGGACTTTTCCTCTCCTTTAATGAAAACGTACCTAGTCTGTGTCCTAGCTCTTGACCCCTGAAGATGTTCTCAGCAGACTAAAGGATGCTCAGATGTTGATAAATGACAACTATTTAGTTTTGTAAGAACTCTCTTAAACAATTTGTTTAAAGGACAAAACCTCAAGACTAATTGGGCACAATAAAAGAATAAAAAGAGTCAAGTATGATCCTGATCCTTTATGCTTGGAACTAATTCTGCCCTCAGTTATACAAATGCACCTTCTATTAATTTATACCCATACAATGGAGAACAAACCTTGACCTTTGCACAATTGCCTTGGCATTACCCTTATAAAAATCACCCTGGAGAGATTTTTCTACTACTATGCAAGGCTGGTTTGGCACTTTAGATTTTCTGAGAATGAATTTGGGGAGAGGAAGGATGGCTTTATCAAGAGTCATTAATATCAAACTGTCCTCACATGAATGACATGCTTATAGCGTTAGATGAAATTTACACTATGGCTCTTCATTGGGGATTTTTTGCTCTGCCAATTTTCTTTAATCAAAACATAAAAGGAAATAAGTGAAGTGAGACACATATTTAAATGCTTATTGAAAAATCCAGAATTCCCAAACCAATGAGGTAATTAATTTATATAGTACATATTGGAATAGGCTTTTCTTTGTATGCCTGTGTGTATGAAAGAGAGAATGAAAGGCCAATAATTTGGCACAGATTTGAAGTGCCAGATAGTTTAAAATTTTTATTATAATATCAATAGCTAATATTTATTAAGCACCTATTACAAGCCAGATACTTTTACTTGTAAGTTGCTATTTAATCTTCTCAGCAACTCTTTGAAGGGATTCCTCCTACATTTCCTGTTTTTCTAGATGAAGAAACAGATACAGATAGGTTAAGTAATTTGCTTAAAGTCACAAAAGCAGAGCTAGGATTAAAACCCAGGTGATCTTACTCTAGACCAGTGGATTTCAGCCTTCCTAATGCTGCAGTGTATTTTCAGTGTTAAAAGGGGTCATGACTGGATGGCACCTGTGGCTCAAAGGAGTAGGGCACTGGCCTCATAGGCTGGAGGTGGTGGGTTCAAATCCAGCCCCAGCCAAAAACTGCAAAAAAAAAAAAAAGAAAAGAAAAGAAAAAAGGGTCATGACTCAGGTGTGTTTTTCGTAGTCACAGTATATCTAACTCTTGTTCTAGGACTCTTAGTTACCAAAATAGATTCTTTTCCACTTTCTAGACCACTAAATCACTTTTATTCCTGTATTATTTTTTCTCAGCTAAAGTCTGGTTGACTTTTTCTTTTTCAGGTTGATTTTTTAAATCCATAATTACATATTCTAGCTTTACAACTGTAAATATCTACAAAACCAACAGAAGAGTGCTTATGTCTACTTTCAAATAACTTGACTAGATATAAGTCATCAACTGCATATTTCACAACCTTTGACTAGTTTATTATTGATTTTTCGCACCTGGTGATGGTGTACCATTAGCATCTTACATATTGGAGTATTTGTGTTAAAATGAGCTTTTCCTTTAACTACCTTCTCTTGTATGTATGTATCCCTTAGTGTCTATTCAACATGATAAGTGAAAGAACACTTAAAATCCCCTCTGAAATAAGAAGTGGGCTGTGTTGTTATCTTTCTCATTTTTTTCTAAATTCATCTATTTCCATTTGCAGCTCTGTGTAATCTTCAGCCCTTGGAAGCCCTCTTCGTTATCTTGAGGGAATCTGCCCCTACAGTCAAATCCAGTGGATGGTAAAGATGAAAGTCTTAATCTCTTAAATATGTTGACTTAACATTTTTATGTAATGAAGATGTCTTAATTTGTTTGGTCACTCGTTTCTGCTTCACCATCACGGTTGGACAATATTCCCTAAAATCCAGTATCTTAACTGGAAAATTTAAATGATCAGTTTCCATTAACAGCTAGCTAGCCATCTAGAAATAAATAATATCCCCCATTATATATTATGATGATATTACTGTCCTGCCTTTCATTAATGAACATACTCAGTTGTTTCCCAAGTAAGAAGATGGACCAATGGTAATAATTTGCAAAATTTCTTACTGTGCCAGGCTAGGCAGTCTATAATTGCAATGTATAGCCTGTTGTTTGGTCAATTAAACTGAACATCCATAAACCTGGAGCAGAGGACTTGTCCTTCCAGTATGCTTCAGGACAGCTAAACTTGGAAACTGTCCTCTCTGAAGCTTGTCGATCTAGTACTTACACTCTTGTTCATTTTTCGTATTCAGGGCTTGAATAGAAAGCCTCATAGGAGTGGTGGAGTGTGATTTGACTGCTGACATTCCTCATTGTAATTCGGTTTAACCCTGTCCACAGAATCAGGCTTTCTGGCCACATCTGTTTTTATGGGCCATTTTAAAAAGATTACTTATCCTGGTGCTGTTAACAACCTCTGTTTGGATCACATATCCATGCCTCTGTAGTTAAAACTGCATATAGTCAAATGAAACCTTCAGAGTATGACTGTCATGGGCTGACTAATATAGTCTCACAGAGCATATATATCACATTAACTATTTAATTGCCACATCACTGAGTTTTGACATGTGCACATAGCTAAACTTATAGAAGTTTCTATTGCTACTTAGGCAGAAAATACTGTTGATTCTCTATCCTTTTCCTAGGTTTAAATGGCCTCACTGTATAATATATATTGCCAAACTGCCAATTGAAAGACAATTACAGCTATAGTCTCACCAAAAATAATGATTTTCAGAGTAGCATGTGGGTGGGGGTCCGAAGAGGCGTGGTAGGCTTGAAAATACGTTTATGTCTTTGACTCATTTCTTTTAGGTCTCGCAAATTCCACAATTTTATGGAACAATGCATGATAAAAAATTTCCTGATTCGTCCTACTTCGGCAAACATGCTTCATCATCCATTTGTTCAGAACATAAAACATGAACGGCATGTTGTTGAGTCATTAACGAAGCATCTTACTGGGATCATTAAGAAAAGACAGAAAAAAGGTAGAATCTGCGATGTTTCACTTTACTGAAATGAATAGTCAGATAAAAGCAGAATTTAACTCACAGATTGGTTTTGGAAAAAAAAAAACATTTGTTTAAGAACTAGGTTGAAAATAAAAGTTCTGAGGCCTTCCATACTTTTTATTTTCAATACTACCAACAATGTGCTATGTGTTCTTATACAATTCATTAACTCTGGCCTCAGTGTGCATGCATGCACGTACGCATGCACACGCACATAATTGTAATGCTTAATATATATCGATCACAAAAGATGAAAACAAGTCACATTTGAGAACCTCTTGTAATTGTGGAAGTGAAATGTGACTTAAGTATTACAATTGTAATACAATTTTTCCTTTCTTACGATGTGCATACACTTTTGGCATCCTTTACACATACACACACACACACACATACTATATATGGCTATTCATTTTTGCCAGTGACAACTGGCAAGTATTTATATTTACAAAGGTGGTGAACACCTCAAGTAGAATGTTGTGATGTGTGTCAATTTTAAGTAAATTAACTAAAGGAAAAAGTTATAGGTAACAAAATCTATACCTTACTGTCCTTTTGTAGTTGATATTTTGACTTCCTAGAGATAAGTGGATTTGTAATTAGCCATTTATTGACTAATAATTTTGAAGTAGTGTTTGTGCACCATATAAAGCTTATTTGATGTACTGAACTTCAATTGTATTATTAAAGAAACTAGTTTATACAAATGAAAGTAAACTCCTATCTATTAAAAATGACAAGATGAATTTTCACCAAATCCAGAGACTTGGGATTTGTTAATCTTCTCGTTTACTTGGCATATTTCACATTTAATCTTGGGTAGGGTTGAGAGTAACAATGGAGTGTAGAAGGGGAACTTGAAAAAAGCAGGCACCCTCAGAGGAGCTAAAGTATTGATTACAGGGGATCTTATTTCATCTGAGGAACTGTATCTATGCTATTTGGAAGTAAGGAACAACAGGAATTAATTTACTTACCTTAATAATTTACTTACTGAACAAACATCACAGAGGCTAGTAATCTCCAGTGGGTTCAGGAAAACCACACATCTACTTGACAATTTGCTGATTTCCAGGGTTGTAAGATTTCCAAAATGTTACCTGTAGGAAAATAACCATTTATATGGAGGTTACTCTCAAGTAAATATAGTTGTACTATAAACATTAAAATAGGACATTCAAAAGAAAACTTTTGTCTGTAAGATGATTTCAGTAGTAACAACATAGCCAATAGGGAAGAACCTGAATTTTTTCAAGGCATTAAGTGTAAAACCCAGAGTTAAGAATTTGCCTTCTCATCAAAAAGACCAAAGCTCAATCCTAAGCTATAAAGTTTGCTATCTAGAGCCCATAGCTGTAAGCCATGCTCATCACCCATCTAGATTTTCTCTTGTCCTGGTTTCCCTTTGTCCCATTCTCTCTTCTTTCTCTTTTAGAACTGCAGCATTCAGATTGCTACTTTTTTCCCCCATGCCTAAAGAAATTAACCTGCATGCAATTGCTGTCCTGTGCTGCAAAAGTGGGCCTGGAAACTAGGACATTATTTACATCACCAACCAAGTTTATCTGAAGGGCTACCTTTTTGCCTTTGTGAATTCACTCCCTATCCCAAGCATTAAAGGGTACAAAGTCACTAAGGTGGATTACATGGTTCTTTGCTATTTATGTGTTATGTTTTTCTCTTTCGTAAAAAGGGATACCTCTGGTCTTTGAAAGAGAAGAAGCTATCAAGGAACAGTACACCATGAGAAGATTCAGGTGTGTTAGACGAATTGCATATATAATTTAATGATATCAATTTGCATAAGACAGTTGATTACATAGTGTTGCCTTTAACTCAAAATGACTTAATCCTTTCTGATACAACAAAAAGATACTGAGTGGAAATGTTGAAGAGAATTTTTTATTACCACCCAATGACTCCTTAATACCTGGCCATAGAACAATCAAGTAGATTATCAGACACCATTACTAATTGAATACATTAGTAATACAAATGTTACCTGCAGGATATTTCAGACTTTACAAGAATAATTCCAGAAAGATTTGTTGAAAATATCTTTGTTGTAGAAAATTTCCATATTTTTTTCTTTTCTTTCTTTTTTTGAGACAAGAGTCATACTTGGTCACCCTTGGTAGAGTGCTGTGGCATCACAGCTCACAGCAACCTCAAATTCTTGGGCTCAAGAGATTCTCTTACCTTAGCCTTCCAAGTAGCTGGGACTATAGGTGTCTGCTACAATGTTAAGCTAGTTGTTTACAGACAAGGTCTCACCCTGGCTCAGGCTGGTCTCGAACTCCTGAGCTCAGGCAGTCCACTGCCTTGGCCTCCCAGAGTATTAGGATTATAGGTATGAACCACCATGCCCAGCCAATATGTCCATCTTTTAAAATAAAAGCAGTTTCCCTAAATGCCTCGATTTCACTGAAAACAATCTAATTTTGTGGCAATCATTTGTATATTTATTTCAGAGGACCTTCTTGTACTCATGAGCTTCTGAAGTTGCCAACCAGCAGCAGATGCAGACCACTTAGAGTCCTGCATGGAGAACCCTCTCAGCCGAGGTGGTTGCCTGATCGAGAACCACAGGTCCAAGCACTTCAGCAACTCCAGGGAGCAGCCAGGGTGCTTATGCCACTACAAGCCGTGGACAACACGCCCCGGCTTCTACAGGGGCAGGCTCAGGCACCTCAACGACTACAAGGGGCAGCTCGGGTGTTCATGCCACTGCAGGCTCAAGTGAAGGCTAAGACCTCTAGGCCCCTCCAGATGCACCTTAAGGCACCTCCACGACTACGGAAGGTAGCCGGTGTGTTCATGCCACTACAGGCACAGGGTAAGATACCCAGGCCTCTGCGGGCCCAGGCCCAGGCCCAGGTACCTAAAGAGCAGCAGGCTCAGGCCCAGGACCAGCCATCAGAACAGCCCCAAGATCTGGACCAGGTGCCAGAGGAATTTCAGGGGCAAGGTCAGGTACCTGAACAACGACAAGGGCAGGGTCAGGCCCCTGGACAACAGCAGAGGCAGAACCAGGTACCTGAACAGAACCTGGAGCCTGAACAGCCAGAGGTACAGGAAGAGGCTTCAGAGACAGAGCCCGAGGCAGAGGAGGAGGAACCCGAGTCACTGCAAGTACAGGCTCTGGTGTTCCTGCCCCTGCTGTCACAGAACCACCACGTGCTTTTGCCACTGCATTTGGATACTCAGGTGCTCATTCCAGTAGAGGAGCAAACCGAAGGATTATCTCTGGCACAGGCCTGGGTATTGGAGCCCTCACAGGCAGTTAGCTCAGTTCAGGCGCTGATAGAGGGACTATCGAGGGATCTACTCCGAGCACCAAATTCAGATGAATTAAGGCCACTCGGTCCACTGCAAACCCTTCTAGAAAACCTGTCATCAAACGTGTTTTATTCTCAACCCGAACAGGCTAGGAAGAAAAAATCAAGAGTTTCTAGTTTAAGGCAGGCTCTGGCGAAAAGACTGTCACCAAAGAGGTTCCGGGCAAAGTCATCACGGAGACCTGAAGAGCTGGAACTCTCGGATTTTGAAGCCCACAGGCAAAGGCGCCAGCGCAGATGGGAAGAAATCTTTAATCAGCATGAGGAGGATGTGAGACCAGTTGAAAATGTAAGCGTTTTTGATAATTTTTACGCTGAGTTAGAAATGCAGAGAAAATGTGCTAGTTCATGCTGATAGTTCTCCTCTGTAAAACCAAATGAAATAAATATTCCCTGTGTTCCATAGAAGATTGACTGATTTTTACTTCAAATAAATTATCCTGAATTTTCAAGATAATTGTGACTGAATATGAGTCACAAACCTTTTGTTGGAATGATGTAGGTAATTGCTTAATGCATCTCTATTGAAATATAGTTTGAATTAGTAGTTTTTGACTTGTCCTTGCCTTAACCAATAAAGGGATAAACATATGTACATTTAAAATTACTATTTTGGACCTTTAAAAAATACTTTAATTATTTAAAATTTCAAAGATAACTCATTGAAAGTAAACGCAAAAACAATTTGGTTTTGTTCTTCTAACCTCTGTACGTTTAATTGCTTTTTCTTCCCACTGAATACTGAGCTGGACTATTTGAGTGAATTACACTCAATTTTGTTTTTCAGGATGTTTAAGTCAAGGTTAAAATGAGAGAAAAAGCAGTTTCCAAAAGATTTTGCATATGATGACCATATTTATGACTTGTCTCACCAATTCGCTGCCCCTTTTACATAATTAGTCAATGACATGACCTCACTGAACATGAAACAAGTTATAAATTGTGTCTCTGCACACTTTTGAAATGTGAAAAACAATGTATTAAAGTCTATCTTTTTAAGGAACAATCAATAAAACCTCATTCTTTTGAAAACCAGTAACATGAAATAGATGTAATATGACCAGAGTTATTGAATTTAATCTGGCAAATCTAATCTCATGATGAAGAGTTGGTGAACTTGATAAGCAAATTAATGAGGTTAGACAACATTAGGAGGACAGTTGTTTTCTAAAACATTGAAGCATTCATTTACATAAAAGGAATCATTGTGATGGTTCTAAATTAGATCCTGTGATCTACATCCATTTATTAATCATAATTAATTCCTAGCACTCTGGGAGGCCGAGGCAGGTGGATTACTTGAGTTCTTGATTTTGAGACCAGCCTGAGCAAAAGCGAGACCCCATCTCTACCCAAAATAGAAAAACTGAGGCAAGAGGATCACTTGAGCTCAAGAGTTTAAGGTTGCTGTGAGCTGTGATGCCCCAGCACTCTATCCAGGGTGACAGCTTGAGACTCTGTCTCAAAAAAGAAACATTAATCATAATTGATGTAGTAATTACAAGTGAATCTTGTCTGATTAGATAAGGAATTCTTTTGGTTCATGCACTTGAGCCAATTGAATAAATGCTGATTCACTGACATGTTTAACATGGGAAGAGATAAAAGAAAGTGAAATGGATCTCTAGCAGGAAAAGATGGAGATATAAAGAAAAGAAATCAGATGCAGAAGGGGGAGGTATAAATCCAGAATGGTCATATTTGCAAAAATAATGGCATTTAAAATGCAAATGATTATTCTCAATGAGCTCTAGTAATCAGATAGATCTAATGGGTTCTGCGTTTGTAAAAACGACTAACATATTTCCCTGAAAGACTCACAGTATTATCAGCATGACACATACTTACTGTCATTAATTATTTTTAATATGTACATGGGAAGCCATTCCAAAATAGGAAAAAAAAGTCAATAAATAATAGCATTCATATCTTACAGGTAGTCCTTAAAGAAAACATAAAGGAAAAGAAAATTATTGATAATAATAGCCAAAGTCAAAGGTATTTTGGAATACTTGAAATTTTAGTAGATTTTAGAATACTTCAACTCACTGGCAGGAAAAAAGCATATTTTTATTACACTTTTTGAATTGAAGAGATAATACTGATTGGCTTAAAAGGGAAAACAGTTTCCTCAAGTTCTAGAGCTTGATTATGGAGAACATATTTGCACCTCTGTATTACAGATCTTGCATTTTTCAAGAAGACCAACCTTCAGAGTTATATTAGCTTACTAAAGGTAACAGTACAGTGTTATTAGTTAATCAAGATTTAGAACAGAGATAAACCTGGATCCCATAGATGAGATTCAGGAGGTCAGCAATCCCCTTGGAAATAATATGCAAATGTGCATATCTATATGTAATTTTCTAAAGTCAAACTGTAGCAGTCTTCAGATTCCAAAAGGGAGCCAGAAGTAAAACCTGTTAGAAACTGCTTGTTTAAGTCATTTTTACTATTGCGAAATTACTCTTTTAAGGTTTACATTAGGATGATGGAGTTGTTCCTATCACTTGCATTTTAGCAACAATTAAAATATTTATTTTCCTTTTTGTGTCAAAGGACAAAGAAGATGAGTCATCAGACAACGATGATGAAGTATTTCATTCCATTCAGGCCGAAGTCCAGATAGAACCATCACAGCCATGCATTCCAAATCCTAATGGAGATGAGGTAAATTTCTCCATATGAGTTGTTGTGACGTTAGAAAGAGCCTGAAACAGTGGTGGTTAAACTTTTTGGCCTCAGGATCCCTTTATACTCATAAATATTGAGGACCCCCCCCCAAAATTTTATTTATTACATAGATTGTCATTCAATATTTAACTAATTAGAAATTGAAATTGGAAACAATTAAAAATAATTCACTTAAAAGTTGTAAAACTATTACATGTGCATAAGCAACCAACTTTTTAATGAAAAGTAACTATATTTTCCAAAATAAAATTTTAGAGAGAATGAAATTGTTTTATATTTTGGTAGAGCTCTTTAATCTATCTTGCTTAATGGAAAACAGCTGGATTCCCATATCTGCTTTGGCATTCAATCTGTTGCCATATGTTGTTTTGGTTGGAGTATATGAGTAAAAACTGGCTACTCACAAATAGGTAGTTAGAAAGGGAAAAGTTTTACAGATTTTTCAGATAATTGTGGAAATTCTTTGATAATGTACTGCACCTAGATAAATTGAATTTAAAACCATATTTAAAAAAAGTTGTATACTTTTTAATATTAAAACCCATTGGTCTGTCTTGTGCTATGAATATTTTGCTTATGCAGGCTTTTTAACTTCATGTATTGGTTTGTTGGAAAATATATATTCACTGTGTATGCAGACCTCTCCGCATGTTTACATGTTCTCTTATACAGTAGCAAAAACAAGCATTTGTAATAATCTCCATCCATTCCATCATAAAAGCCATTGCGTATTGGCAAACTGTCAAGTGCTTAGTAGTAGATTCGGGTTTAAAAATTCTAATTTTCCCTTGAAAGCTCAAAGTGTATCATTATTAACAAATAGCAATCTGTTTTTTTTTTCTCAAGTTGACAGGCTTACTTCATTCATTTAAAATAAAATGTCTACCAAATACCAAATAGGATGAATAATTCGTTTGTCAGTCTTCCTTTAAGCAAAAATATTGAGCCTGAAAAATGCTGGTAGTTTAGTTTGTAAAGCAATGGCACATGTCTTTTTCCTTGATTGTCTCTGTTCTGGGATTCAGTTTGTAACAAGTTCTGGGTCATTTTACTGTGGTTTATTTACTTGCAATTATGGGAATAATTAAGTTGGTCCTAGTGTCCAGTTGACATCTGTTTTCATGACTACCTCAATAGTATCCTAGTTAGCACATGTATTAGTAAGGCAAGTGTCATAAGGTAGGCTCAGTTCTTGTGTAAACAAGGCAGCATCATCATAACCAGGATTCCTAAAGGCCAGCCATCTAAAAGATATTTTTCACTAAGGTAGATTCAGTGAGTAAGTGAGTAAGCTCAAAGTCTTGCCTTACTGATAGTGGATTAGGAACCTCATTGTTTTTCCTAATCAACACAAGATGCTTCACAGGAGTCTACTATGAAGTCTTTGATGGACAATTCTCTTTTTTAAATACAATCTTCTTGATACTAACAGTCCTCTGAAGTGGACAGAGCATACTGCTTTGTAAATGTTAACTACTGGCAGAAGAAACATAAGATGGATTGCATTGTTTAATTTGAAGAAGCGATATATCTTTTTCTCTGCCTTCCTAAATGATTTTACTCATACCCTCAGGCAATAATTATTACCATAAGCAGGACACTTAAACAGGAAAATCATTGTCAGATTAAATATAGCCAGTGCGTATTAGGCATCATCTTTATTGTTTAAGGCCATTTGGGCCTCTTGTTTTGAGAAATTTGGGCCTCTTATTTACTGATATCAATAAACTTCCTGAGAGCAGCTTCGTAAACCAAGAGGTCTAGACTGGGTCAATAGGATGCCAGCGATTTAATTGAAAGTGGCAACAGTTAGACAGATGCTTCTGTTGCATACTGCCAAACATCTGGTTATACTTGGAAACACTCATTATCAAAATGTGAAAGATTCACAGCATTTTTCATTTCTCACTTATCTGTCTCTTGGAGTGTAAAGACAGCCTGATAAGTTACTTTACGAAGAAAAAATAGTGTAGTAAAGCTAGTATGGTTTCCAGAAACTATAAAGTAAGTGTATCAGCATGAAAATACTAGATTTCTAAACAGTATTAACACATTGAAATTTCCTTTCTAAAGAATTTAGTGTGACGGTCTTGTTGCATGTCACAATGACCTATTTTTCTAGCAGCTAAAAACTGTTATGAGTAGGAACCTAGTGGTAAAAAACTACATGAGGCAAGGCAGCGTCCCATGGCCCTGTCCATCAGTGTTGACAGAAAATAAATTTCTTCCATTCATGGAAGTTGGCTCATACGTGCGTTTTCTTGAGTGTTTTGCTATATGTATATGAGATGGGTGTATAATTAGTAAAATGAAAACTAATTCATTTAGAGGTGAAAAAGTATTTGGAACACTAATTATGATAGTGCAGTCAAATTTTTAAGTGGAGATACATGCCTTCTTAATGACAGGGCAGTTTTGACCCTTGAAATTTATACATGTGACAGCTGTTGAAAATTTAGGATCCAGCTTAATAGGGTGAGTGAGTATTTGAACTTAAATTCTTAAACTCTGAGTGAGAAGTTTGCACTTGATATAGAAAGCAATGTGGTAACACAGAAGGAACATTAAATTAGAAGTTGGAAGGCCTGCATTCTCATTTTAGATGTTCCTTTGACTTGATGATAAAATTCTAGAAAATTTATTTTTCCTGAGTGCTACAGATGTCCTGACAATAAAATGAGGGTTTTTGATTATATGATCTCCAGGAATCTGTTTCCATACTAAAATTCAAAGATGTCATCAGAAATTATGGTTAAGCACTTCTAATGTTTTACTGTGACATTTATGAAAATAGAATCTATTTATTAAAACCATATTTTATAAGTTTGATTTTTATGAAAATAGATACGAGAAAGGTATTTTACCATAAATAAATTACTCAGATGAATTTATGATGAAGAATTCTACTGAGTATTCTTTTGTGGTTTTAAGGTTCAAGAGGGATCTATTGCTATGCCTTGCAACCAGGATCGTGCACATCATGTCACATTTTCCTCAAGGTATATGTCTTTGATTTCTATAATTCAAACTACTCATGATTAATTATCACATGAAAAATTAAAGCTTGTTTTTGTGATACTATGTTCCATGTGAAGTGAAAACTAAAATATTAACCCTCAAAAATATAATGAAGGTTTCTGATTATATGATCTCCATCATCACCATTGGCATTGTTGACCCACATTTAAAACCTTAATGGCAGTGATCCAGTGATTAGGCTAGATCTTTGATGTTCAAATATACTTTATTCTCTTCAAGCAATTATTTAGTTTGATAATTAGCTGACAAGACCACAACTTAACAAGAGATAAACAATAGCAATGAATTCCTTGACAGTGTTCAAAAAGTACTTGACAATAAAAAGACATGAAATTTCAAGTAAACTTTTTTGCATGTACTACATGGTAAGATACACCTGGAGTTTAAACCTTATCTCAGAAGCTGATGACACAGAATGAGTAAGCCTGAAAATAACACATAGTAAAAACCAAATCTTAGACTTAATATTCTGTCAATAAAATATCATACATAATATTGACAACACTCTATTTTTGACCTTTGTAATATTGAGAATCTTTAGTAATTTTTAAAGATGATTATGTTCTATAAGTTAGATGTTGTGTACAATGCGTTATATTTTAAAACCAAATTTTAAGTAGGTTTTCTTTGAAAAGCATACCACCTCCAACCCCAACTCATGATAGAGAGAACTTAGCTTAAGTGCATTTACTCGGTCATTCAGTAAATAGCTACTGAGCATTCACTATATTCTGGACAGTGTCATCAGAATTCATAGAGATGATGTTATGTGGTATATGTCTCTCTACCTCATTTTTTTTTAAGAGACAGGAGTCTCACTTTACACCCTCGGTAGAGTATCGTAGTGTCATAGCTCACAGCCAACTCCAGCTCTTGGGCTTAGGTGATTCTCTTGCCTCAGCCTCCCGGGTAGCCGGGACTACAGGCGCCTGCCACAACGCCCAGCCATTTTCTCGTTGCAGTTTGGCCAGAGCAGGGCCCAAAACAACCACCCTCAGTATATGGGGCCAGCGCCCTGCACTGAGCCACAGGCGCTGCCCTCTCTCTACCTCATTTTAAAAAAAATTTCCATGCATTTATGCCTTCAAATTTAGCTATTGTATAGAAATCTTGGAAAATTGGAAAGCAAGACTAAGAAATACCTTTCTTTTTCTCTGCACTCAGTGAATGGATTTTCATGGTCCTTCTGACCTCAAAGGGAAGAAACCAGTATTGAGTAGTTGTTTTTGGTTTCATGGAACATAACTTTAATAAAATCCAATGTATTAAAAAAAACCCTTAGCATTAAACTTGGAGTGATTATTCAGTTTATGAAAGGATTTTGAGTTTATGAATAGCAAATACCTTGCTTTTGGTTAAATTTCTTGTTAATCTTTCTTAAAATTGGGGCTATAGAAAAGACTTTTGTGATGTTTTGATACAGCCATACAAAGTGTATTAACCAAATGGGAATTTGTTAGAATGTTCCAGTTCTATTCTCTTAAAGTATCATGTGTACTCTATAAGTATATACAGCTATTATGTACTCATAATACTTAACAATAAAACAGGTTTTTTTTGTTTTTTGAGACAGAGTTTCACTCAGTTGCCTTGGGGTTGAGTGCTATGGCGTTATAGCTCATAGCAACCGCAAACTCTTGGGCTTAAGTGATTCTCTTGCCTCAGCCTCCCAAGTAACTAGGACTACAGGCACCTGCCACAACACCAGACTATTTTTTAGAGACAGGGTCTTGCTCTGGTGCAGGCTGGTCCAGAACTCCTGACGTCAAGCAATCCACTCACCTTGGCCTCCTACAGTGCTGGGATTACAGATGTGAGCCCATGTGTTTTCAAGGGCCATGTGTTAATCCCAATGTTAGGACATAAAGCAAAAGGGAAAATGTTACTGTATTTATAGAGCAAAAAAACAAGCCTGGCCCCAATAAAACAGAAACTTTTTTAAATGTTTCTTTTAAAAAGAAAAGACTTTTTGTCTGTTCTAGGCCTAAATCAATAGCCAAAGTCTTTCTATATAGAAACAGCAAAATAACTAGAAAATTTAGCAGCACTTGTATAAAGCAACTTCCTAAATATTCTTGGAAATTGAATAGTAAGATGTAAAGTGCCTTATTTGTTCATTCATCTATCTAAATCAGCAATGGGACATTAAAAAAAAACCATGAACTTTAAGCATTTTAAATCAGAATAATAATAATAGAATAAGAATGTGCTTATTGCTGCGTTACTCAGGTAATATTTGAATATTAGCTTAAAATGTTTATAGGAATTTTTAGAAACAAATATATATGAATGAAGCATACTACATGGAAAATTTTTTTTATATATTTTGGAAATTCTTCTAGATAAAATAGCAGGTTTGGGGAAAATGGAAATTGGAAAATACTACTTTTGCTCCACTACTTTTCAGTTTGATCTATACCCATGTATTTAAGCAAAATGTTTCATTAGTCTTTGTGTTGAGCTGTACATTCCCCTTATGCATGTTAGGACATGGCACATGCTTTTTTGTCTTTTCATTAGCATAAGCGTTCCTCAGCGGTCTCGTTTGGGACAAGCTCCGAAGCCCATTGATATCAGACAAAGAAGGTGTTTGCAAAATCCTCGGAATGGCCCAGCAGCAACAGGTGATTCAGAGCACAAAGTTTCAACATAAAAAAGCAATGCTAATGTTTAACAATTTCTATTTCAGAATTCAAGAGGGAAGAATTTCAAGAAGGGATGAATCAAAAGTATTAGGGAGGTCAAATAGGATTAGGAGCAGAAAGTCACGCAAGTGGTTTGGCAATTGGGTGGTCAGGGGTCACCTTTGAGAAATGGAAAATAATTTTTTTGGTGTCTCTTCGTTCACTTGGGTAGTAGTTAAGGATGTATTTAGAAAGGTGGGGAGAGTCAACTTTATTTCGTTTCTATACCAGGTAAGAAAAATATGGGAAAGGAACTTGGGAGAGGCCTCTCTAATAGGCTAAAATTGGATACACTAGTAGAATACTGGATACACTAGTTATAAGCATGTGTTTCATTTATCAATTTGTTATTTCACTTCTCTAAACCATTTATTATCTCATAAATGTCCCTAAATGATTTTACTCACAATAAATGAAAAATTAATCAAATCATAGAAAATAGCTTAGAAAAATTGATATGAACTTCAAATAAGTGTTTCATTTTAAGATGTGCTTTTTAGATAGTTTAAATGAATTATAGATTTGTGAAATATTAGCATAAACAAAACCAAAGGTTGTGTGTTCAATCATGAAATCTACCATTATCCAGTTTTAAGCAATCTAGGCAAGTTTAAGCAAGGAGAAAATTCCTAATTGAATCTCTGAGTCATCTCTAAAAATATAGCATACAGATTTTATTAAAATATTGATAAAAAATGGCTCAGCGCCCATAGCTCAACCGGCTAAGGCGCCAGCCACGTACACCTAAGGTGGCGGGTTCGAATCCCCAGCCCGGACCCGCCAAACAACAATGACGGCTGCAACCAAAAAATAGCCGGGCGTTGTGGCGGGCGCCTGTGGTCCCAGCTACTTGGGAGGCGGAGGCAGGAGACTCGCTTGAGCCCAGGAGTTGGGGGTTGCTGTGAGCTGTAATGCCACGGCACTCTACCCAGGGGGACAGCTTGAGGCTCTTTCTCATAAAAAAAAAAAAAAAAAAAATTGATAAAAAAATGAATACAGGTTTACCTTACCTTTTGCAAACTGAATATTTAAAGATCTGAACTTTAAAAGCCTATTCTTATGAAACTGAGATAATGGCAGAATTTTTTTTAAATAGTAGTGTCCCCTCTTGTACAAATACTATATTATAAAAAATAAGATAAGCCTAAGTGAAGGGTAAATTAAGGATTTTTTTCTCCAGAATCTTTTTCTTCTGGTTTGAGTTGGGCTGACTTTGCTAACACTGGGCAAACAACTAAAAATTTAAGGTTTATATGTGTTTCAATTTGGAAATAAGGAAATTCAGGTTAGGCCCCAAAGCAATCATGAACATTGATGGGAGGAAGAAGGAAATAGCATGTGTGCATATAATAGCTAAACATTATGCATCTTTTTAGCTTCAATATTATTTTATTGTATGTTCTTAGTAGAACATTTGGTATTCACATGAAATGACAGGAAGGAACTCTGATTTTATGACAGATATCAGAGGACCTTACTATAGTTTTGTGTCAAAGTCTCAAAACATTCACCAGGACTTCTTATTTGGTCTTCTAACACACCGAAAGAGAAATGGTTTCCTACACAAAAATAATAAATAAAAAACTACAACAGTACTAGAAGATGAGGACACAAATTTTGGCATGAGTTTAGTCAAGCATTCTTAAAAGACTGCAGTGTTTACAAATATGAGGTCTGACAATTAAGTTCACAAACTCATCTTAGCAAAAGTACTATGCACTTCATTGCTGAATATCATTATGGTCACCTTGAAGTACTCCCTGTGGGAAGCTATGCACCAATGTCAGCACCTAGTCCACCCTTCAGAGCAATTTTGGAACTCTTTCTGGAATGACCACCCATCAGAGTTGCCATCATAAAGCACACAAAAACAATAATGAATACCACTCAGCAAAACATTGCTACACATCAACATAAATACTGCTGTGAGACACTGACATGCCAAGATTATGAAACCTTACCGAGTTGCCTTCAATGCAAACATATGATGGCAAGTTTACAAAGTTAATTGTACATTAGTTTTTGGGGCCATTCCAAACAAAGAGTGATAATGTATATTACCGTTATAGAAAGGTTCCCAGCTGTGTAAGAACATATAACTTTGATCTCTTTTCAGTAGTTCACTCCTTAACTGTATTGAAATACATCAGGATATTTCACTTGGTAGAAAATGGGCAGTTAAGATTTCAAAATCAGCTCTCATTGTGAGAGTTTTAGGTAGTCTATTATCTTCTAGTGCACTGTTTAGCTCTTTTTCTATTGTTTAGTATGTGAGGCTAGTCCTTTCTATTCTTGTTACTAGTTACCAGTCGTACTATGTACTTTCTAACACAGACAGAAATATTTAGTAAGCTGTGTAGATCTGCAGATGGGACAAAATTTGAGCCTACTACTGCCCCCTGAAAACAGAATTTAGGATCCTGACCTCATGAGAATTTATTAGGTGATACTTCCTGAATAGAATCACAAAGGCTACAAGGAAAACAAGGGATTGAACTGGTGCACTATACAAATGAAGGCAGTGACTGTAATCACCACTGTTACTAATGCATTTTTGGCATTCCATAGAATCTTCTTCTGAAGAAGAGAGTCCTGTGCCGAGGAGGAGGTCCCAGTCATCACCACCTTATTCTACTATTGATCAGAATTTGCTGATTGACATCCATGTAGGTTTCCATCTTAAGTGTTTATGGCCATTTTTTCTACTTTTCCATTTGTTTTGACTTACATATTTGTGTCTTCACTAAAGGAAAGAAAAATTAAAGAGTTTAGGGTAATAAAATTAATCCTTTAAAGATAGATTTCCCTTTCTATGTTAGCATACACAAAATTAAAATCTAAAGCTCTTAACCAATCAGACATTTGTCTTTTTTCTTTTTTTCTTTTTTTTCCAGAAAATATTCAATTTTCACTTTTTGTGTCAGAATATATTTGAGAGAAGCATAATAAAGAGCAATTTGTACTAGCTGACCTCAGATTAAGAGGTTAGATGCTCAATTTTTGTTTCATTACATTCCTTGGATGATGAGGCAATGTATAAAATAAAACATTTAGCAAGAAATAAAATGCATACTGACTGTATAATTTTTAAAAGTTTCCAGCTCTTTTTACAGTATGCTTTCAGATCATTCTATTTTACTTTGTAATTACTCTTATGCTACCATACACACATCCCTTCCAGGTTGCCCAAAAGTTATACAACACATACCATACTTAAAATGTGGATTTATATTAATTTGCTTTTTATAAGTGCTTGAGATGCTTTAAGACAACTACAACATGTAAATTCAAAGCTGAGAAATTAACATACCAGTTTCAAGGGCTATATGTTAATCCCAATGTTAGGATAAAGCAAAAGGAAAAAAGTTACTGTATTTATAGAGCATCAAATCACCTGTTCTACTTTCCAGCTCCAAAAGCAAATGTCTACTCCTCAGCAGACAAGTAGGGGTAATAAAAATGTGAGTAAATTTTGCCCTGTGTGATCCAGAAAGGCCACTAATAATCACAGCCTGATGTTTGGATTTTAGCATCTCATCCTCACTAAAATTTTGGCTCTATCTAGTGAGTTAACATCTTTGTTTCAATTGAAAATATATTTTAAAATGTCGTCAGATTGGAAATTTTCCAATCTAGAAGAAAATAAAAAGCTGCTAAAGACTACATTAACCTTTCTTGTGCACACAGGTTCCAGATGGATTTAAAGTAGGAAAAATATCACCCCCCGTATACTTGACAAATGAATGGGTGGGCTATAATGCACTCTCTGAAATCTTCCGGAATGATTGGTTAACTCCTGCACCTGTCGTTCAGCCACCTGAAGAGGATGGTGATTATGTTGAGCTCTATGATGCTGGTGCTGATACTGATGGTGATTCTAATGATGCTTTTGAAGATACCTTTGACCATGCCAATGGCAATGATGACTTGGATAACCAATTTTATCAGGATGATGATGTCTATAAAGACTATGATGATAATGACAATGATGATTCTTTTTATGACACAGAAAATAATCGTGATGTGCCTAACTGGCCAAGGTTGGTTTTTATGGATTACTTATTCCACCTATATTTTATAACTTGAGAGCTATTTGTATCTTTGGTTTATTTTCAAAATTTACTACCAAGAGGGTGGATACATTTCACTTGCTTATTGCTAAATGGTTTGATTGTCAATAATAGATTTCAAATTGTTCTAATGCAGAACATCAATGTTTGCATCATTTGTGTACCTTAAAAATTAGCAGTCCAAAAAAATTAGCAGTCAAATATTTTTTAGTTTTTTTATAATTGGAATTTTCTGGATGTTTCTGTTATAATTAATGTCACTGAATCATCTTACCCTATAAAACCATAGTGACTGTGAGAAATGGGGTGGCAAAGGAAGTATACAACCTAACTGTAAGATGAAGCTCTGGTATTTGCCAAAATAGCTATGCTTTTCTCCAACAGTTAAGATAGCATCACATATATAATAAATTTAAGATGTCTGGTTAACTGATGGAGAAATTAACAAGATCTCTTTGGGTTTTTTTTCCAACTAAAAAAATCTAACAGTAATTCCATTGCCACATAAATTTACTTTTAGAATTACCACAAGTGCATGTGTTTAATGTCTCTTATGCAAAAAATAAAGAGCATTGAGACATTTTATTAAGCTTGATATTTTTAGAAACTAATTAAATGACTATCATAGCTCTACAAAATATGAGGCCTATATTACTGAACTTCTTGGTGGACGTAGTAGACCAATGGGATTTATAGCAAAGAGGTCATCAGTACACATGTTAGAAAATCAAGGCACCTGTTAACATTAACATAAACTAGATATATTGTGAGAAAAATTATTTAAGTGTATTGTGACTGAGCTTAAAATCTAAGCTTAATCATTTAGGTTGCTGTGAAGTTGCTAATTCATGAAGTAGTCTATTATTTAAGAAAAAACACATATTCTTGCTACTAACCCTGTGTTCCTAACAAAGAATGCAAGTTATAGTCCCTCTGCCATTGAAATGTAGCCAGAAAATGGACATTAGGTATGGATTACTCATTAATTCAGTATTTAAGATTGATAGGCCGTTGTAGCATTTTTATTGTCTATATTAGTGTTTTCAGCCTTTAAAAAAAATCTCACGGCACAGTGGAACCTATAGTTAAACTTCCGTGGCACACTTATGTTGATCAAAAAAATAGTTTTAAAAAGAATATACTTATGTACTTTGAATGTCTTTTGAAAATAATTTAATTCGTGATCTTTAAAAATTTTCATGGCACACCTAAGATTCTCTCATAGCACACAAGTTTGCCATGGCACACCAGTTGAAAATCACTGATCTGTTATCATACCAATGGCTATATCATAGCCACATAGCTAAGGCATGTCTGGACATAGTGGATGTATATAAGGCGCATGCCAATTCTGTTACATTTACTAACTTTCAAATGTGTTTTTATTGGGTGGCTTTCTTTCATTAATTGGTGCTTCTTATTAGGGCAAGCTATCGCAGAGATGGAAGCTACAAGCAAGATGGTAGTGATGGAAGAGAAGTCTACAGAAGCTACAAAAGAAGCTACAAAAGCTACAGTAGACACTATGGAGGAAGTGCAGCCAGTGGGGCCAGTATGGCCACTGGAGACCAGGAAGGATATGAAGCCAATATAGGCAGTGGAAGAAACAGCAGGGATAATGCAGGTCAGGGAGTCAGTGGGACCAATGAAAATGATGGAGCACTTGAACTAAGTGGAAGAGAAAATCGCTCAGGGAGACGTGGTCCAAGACTGGAGAGACTTGTGTCCCTGGACTTTGAACATCAACAGGAGGTAGGCACAAAGGAGTATGAACTACTCTCATGGTGAATTCATGTTTCTTTATGTGACATGTAGCATTTTCAGCCATTCCAAATATATTTTAGTCTTATACCCCAAAGCCATAAATATTTCTAATTGTAGATGTATAGATAGATTCTTACTACTTCTCATCTATATGGTTCCCATTTCTTTCAAGGGACAACAATTTCTACTTGTTTGCCTTTATTACTCAGATCACATGTGGAGTAGTCTCTTAACACATACAATTTTTTAAAGGTTAAATATTTTTGATTAACACTTAATAATTATAATCTTTATGGGGTATAGAATAGTATTTCAGAACATACAATGTATAGTGACCAAATCAGGATATTTAGCATACTCATCATCTCAAACATTTATCATTTCTTTGTGATGGGAGTGTTCGAAATCCCCTCTTCCAGCTATTTGAAATATACAATAAATTATTGTTAACCATATTACCCTACAGTGCTAGAGAACACTGTAACTTATTCTTTCTACTTAACTATAATTTTGTATCCTCTGAACAAACTCACCTTATGTGTCCTCTCCTCTCCTCTTCCCAGGCTCTAATTACCACTATTCTATTTTACTTATATGCAATAAACTTTTGTAGCTTCTGCATGTAAGTGAGAACTTATAATTTTCTTTCAGTTCCTGGTTTATTTTATGTAAATGATGTTTTCCAGATTAATCCATGTTGTTGATAAGGACAAGATTTCATGATTTGTTATGGCTGCATAGTATTCCATTATGTCTAAAAGCCACATTACTTAATCATTCATCTGTTCAGGGATACAGCTGATTCCTTATCTTGGCTCTTATGAATAGTGCTATAGTAAACATGGGATGGTGATATTTCTTCAGTGTACTGATTTCCTTTCCTTTGTGTGTGTGTGTATATACCCCGTAGTGGAACTGCTACATCATATGATAGTTCTATTTGTAGCTTTTTGAGGAAACACAATATTGTTCTCCATTCCTACCAAAAGTATGTAAGAGTTTCCTTCTCTCCACATCCTCACTGGTATTTGTTATATTTTTGACTTGATAATAGCCATTATAATTGAGGTGAAAGGATGTCTTATTGTGGTTTTGATTTGCTTTTCCCTACTGATCACTGATGTGTTAAACATTTTTTCATGTATTTGTTGACCATCTGTATGTCTTTCTTTAAGACATGTCTATTCACATCATTTGCCCATTTTCTAATCTGATTATTTGCTTGTTTTCTGTTGAGTTGTTTGAGTTCTTTGTGTATTCTGGATTTTAATTCTATATTTGATGAATGGTTTACAAAAAATATCTCTCATTCTGCAGGTTGTCTCTTAACTGTGTTAATTGTTTCTTTTCCTGTGCATACACTTTATAATTTGATATAATCCCATTTGTCTATTTTTGCTTTTGTTGCCTGTGCTGTTGAAATTCTATTCATAGTCTTTTACAAGATGCAGACCACTGTCCTGAAGCATTTTTCATATGTTTTCCTCTAGTAGTTTTATTGGTTTGAGTCTTAAATTTGTATTTAATCCATTTTGAGTTGATTTTATGTAAGATGGGAGATGGGAGTCGAGTGTCATTCTACTGCATAAAGATATCCAGTTTTCCCAGCATCCTTTATTAAAGAGAAATTTTCCCCCAAAGAATATTTTGGAATATTTATCAAAAATCGATTGGCTATAAATATGTGGATTTTTTCTAGATTCTTTATTTTATTCCAAAGGTCTCTATGTCTGTTTTTGTGCCACAACAATGCTGTTTTTGGTTACTATAGTTTTGTAGTGTATTTGATTGCATGGACCAGTAAATCTGGTAGCGTGATGCTTCCTACTTTGTTCTTTTGGCTTAGGATTGCTTTGGCTGTTTTGTATTTACATATGAATTTTAGGATTTTTTTCTTTTCTGTGAAAGATTTTATTGGTATTTTCATAGGGATTTCATAGATCACTTTGGGTAATATGGTTATTTTAACAATATTAATTCTTCTATTTTGTGAACACAGGATACCTTTTCTTTTTTGTGTGTCCTGTTCAGTTCCCTTTATCAGTGTTTTATAGTTTTCATTGTAGAGATTACTCACCTTCTTAGTTAAATTTATTTCTGGGTATTTTATTTCTCTGCTAGCTATTGTATACACAAGTGCATTCATGATTTGTATTTTATCTACTTCGTTGTCAGTGTATAGAAATGCTACCCACTGATTTTTGTTTATTGATTTATATACTGCCACTTTAATGAATTTGTTTATCAGTGATAAGTTTTTTGTGAACTCTTTGTATTTTTTCTATATATAAGATTATGTAGTTTTCAGAAAAAAACAATTTAACTTCCTCATGTTCAAGTTGGATGCCTTGTCTTTTTTCTCTTGCCTAATTGTTCAGATTAGGATTTCTAGTACTATGTTGGATAAGAGTGGTGAGAGAGGGCATCCTTGTTCAAGTTCTTAGAGAAAAGACTTTTAGCTTTTTCCCATTCAGTGAGATGTTTGCTGTAACTTTGAAATATATGGCCTTTTTTTATGTTGAGGTATATTCTTTCTATACCTAATTTTTAGGAGTTTTATTGTAAAAGAATGTTTATTCTTGTTTATCAGATTTTTTTGGGGGGGGGCATTTCTTGAGAGGATCATGTGATTTTCTCCTTTCTGCTGCATCCTGCATTTCCATGCTATTCAGAGACCTTGCCACTCCCTCACTGCATGCTAATGCTCTCCCTAAGACTCTTCCATCACATTTTAGCTGCTCATTAGTTCTCTTGATCTTTTTTTTGTAAGAGGATGAGCACCAGTCACTTTAATCAGCTTGCTGAAGTCACTCTAACAAGACCCAGTTGTTTTTTTTTTTTTTTTCTGGGAAGTTTTTGTTTTATTACAGTAACATAAAATATGCCATATCAACAATTTTTAAGTCTACAAATTAATTTCATTTAGTACATTCACAGTGTAGTGCAACCTTAACCTCTATCCATTTCCAGAGCTTTTTTATCATCCCAAACAATTAAACAGTCAGTTCCCAGTTCCCCCTCCCCTTCCCCCTAGTGAATTAGTCATCCTCATGAGAATATTATCTTTTACTTTCCAAGGCAGAAATATATATTCCTTCCTTGTGCTTGAAAACATTTTGCCCATAGTTCCAGTTATGACATTGTAGCTTAGTTACTTATTTGCTTTTTCTGTCACACTAGATTATAAACTCTTGAAAAGAGGGAACTATATATAATCCAACCTTAATTCTTTTTCTCCCAGCTCATTCGACCTCAGTGTCTATGTCTAACCTAAGACATGTGCTATAATAGGCACACAAGAATTATGAAAGTAATCAATAAAAGAAAGAAAAAAGAAAAAAAGGCAGAAGGAAATCCTCTAAATGATTTCCAATGGGAAAATAGTATTGGTGGTTAAACATCTATAGTAGAATCAACATAGTTGACCACCTTCTTAAGATGACCTAATTTTTATAGAATAGACATATACCACAAATATGCATCACTAAAATAGGCCTAGTTTCTTACATTGACCAGTTTGTTACAGCTCTGTGGGTGGTCAACTTATAGAAGTTTTGCTGTCTGTCTAGCTACCTTAATTAAAAACATTAAAACAGGATGTCCCATCATAGGTTTCATAGCATATCTCCAGTTATCTTAAGGAATGTTTTGGAAATTTGTAGAATGAATGGATCTTCCTTTTATTTTAATTTATGAAAGACATGCTGCCATACCACACTTCTGTGGTTGGAAAGGTCATAAAAACCAGTTTTTGACAGGGTGGCACAACTCTCTTGGTGCCAAGAATCACTGTTTTGACACAAAGGGCTTATCTACAAGCTTACCACAAATAGTTGGTATGTTTTACCACACGATATGGTATTCCACATAAAGTGTCATATTTTGTCACCGTTATCTTTGAGTATCTTTTCTGTAAGAATGGAAGCAGGGTAGGTTTTAAGTGAGGCATATTCACTCTTGAATTTGCGTTGGTTGATTTTCTGCCATTTGCATTGTCATTAGAAAATCTCCCTGTAGGTTTTTCACATTCCTGGTTTTGTGAAGGTGCCTTAAAGCAGTAGAACAGATATTCCCACACTGTGCTTTTTTTGTTTTTCAAAAGGCTATTCAGCATGGCATAGCTGAATGTATGTTTTGGAATCAAACAGGCTTTGGCTTCAAACTCTGGTTCTCCTACCTACTAGCACTATCATATTGAATAAATTATTTAACCTTTCAAAACTTTAGTTTCCTTGTAAGTAAATTGGAGATAATTATACTTATTTGTTGGGTATGATGAGGATTCATGAAGATATGTAAATAAGATACACAGTGCTTGGTATATGGTAAAAATTCCACAAATGTAAGGTCCCATATCATACAATTGGAGACTTAAAAGTTCCTTGCATTTTTCCTCTGATATCACTGGTCTCAATAATTGGTTACTTCTGTCTCTCCTGATGAAACTGTTGAGTTTTTCTAGTAAATGAGGATTTTATTAGAATGTAGATGTTACACATCTTCCATTCTATTTTGCAAATAACCGCTAGGTACATTCTCCCTCTGACAATCTCCTAATAAAAGAAAAACTGGTTTCTATCCTCTTTTAGGAACCAGGCCATGGAAGTGAAATTTCAAACGTCATTGCCTCAGGTGCTGCATCCCCAGCACCTGATGATGAGAGTGACAATAGGTACATAGGGGAATCATCATCAACACCATCAGATTTTTCCGCTGCCTGCTCTTCTCCTTCCACCGGTTTCAGGAGGTCTGCTGATGATGACGTTGACAGTGCCATCTGTGAGTGTACTTAACATAATCTGTAAATGCTTCTATCTGTTCATATATTAAATAGTGTTTAACCACTGGTTCATGATAAGAATCAAATCATTCTGATCTTTAGTTTTCAAAAATTCAGGTTAACATATGCTTTTTAAAAAATCTACACTTCACTGAATATCTATAGGACCTAAATCTGAGCTACAAATGAGAAATTGAGTCCTTCATCTGGATTGTTTTTTGTGTGTTCTAATCACGGTAACTTAAAATATCTTCATATTCAGCAATTTATTTTTAATCGCCAGAATTTGTGTTATCTGATAGTTTAGGAATTACTGAAATATCAAATAAAATGTAAATACAATGAAGGAAAAGAGTTTGTGTGTCTCATTTGTGGAAACACTCGCGTATATACGCGAGTGTATGGATGAGTAATTTCTCTGATTATTGTCCCCTTATTTCTTTACAGTATATGCTGGATTTGTGGAAGTGCCTGAGGAATCTCCTGATCAACCTTTTGAAGTCAATGTTAACCCACTTTGTGCCTCTTCTGCATATAAAAAACCACTAATCCACATGTATGAAAAGGAATTCACTTCTGAAATCTGCTGTGGCTCTCTGTGGGGTGAGTTGGATTTCCTAAAACCGAGTTGCTTTTTCAAAGAATATATTTTATCTATGTAGGTTTCAATGAAAAATCACAGACATAAAATATTTGTTTACTATACCAAATCATTACCAATTCAAATAAAAATATGTTCATGGTAGTTAATTTGCTCAGAATTGGTTTTGCTGATTTTTTTTTCACTCAGTGCAATTTGATGTTCAAACTGGTGCCCCCACTTTTTCATTATATATATTTAAAAAATTTTTTTTTGGTAGAGACAGAGTCTCATTTTATTGCCCTTGGTAGAATGCCATGGTGTCACACAGCTCACAGCAACCTCCAACTCCTAGACTTAGGCGATTCTCATGCCTCAGCCTCCCAAGTAGCTGGGACTACAGGCATATATATATTTTTAATTTGAATTAACTTGGTTAATGCATACAATTGGACTAGGTTATGGTTATTTGAAAATTTAAACTTAGTATTTTTAATTTAGGGTAGTGTTCAGTATGATACCTAAGGAGGTATTACAAGAATGATTTCTGCAGGATCTCGTTTTTGAAAGTCTTGAGGGTTTGTAAAGTTCCTTCTATAATGTCTTAACTTTGATAGACTTTATTCAGTCCTTTGTTTCATAAGAATTATAACCGCATTGGTAATGCTGAGACAACATTTTACCTTGATCCAGTCTGAATTATAAATGAAACAGAATAAATGAATGCAAGACTGTGGAAATCCAAAGTAAATGCCAATCTCTGATTTGCAATTTCATAGATTTTGCTTAATGTTTGAGGAAATAAAGGACAGGGTTTTAAATTACAAATAGAACAGGGTAGCAAACACAATTATATGGATTGAGGCACTAAGAAAAAATTGTCATCTCAAAGTTTTGCAAATTTAATGTATCAGACAACAAGAAAGCAGAAGTATTTCAGTTGGGCAACTATCCCAAAATGTAGTTAATATCTGGTCATTGATCTTTATAACTTGTAATTTTCTGTTTTGAAAAATAAAAGATTATAATAACAAATGTACTTCCCCCTCCCTTCCTGATTCTCTTGTGAGAAAAAGGTGAAGTTTCTAAATCGCCCTTGGCCATGAATTAGAGAACTGGTAAGGGCTAGAGTGGAAAAATGAAAGCAAACAGAAACTCTTGTCTTTTCTTCTTATACCCAGGGAGCACAGGTAGCCTCTAGGTGAAATGAAGACTCTGAAGTTTGTACCTCCATTACATTACTTGGCTGATTATCTTCTATGTCAGTTTATAGGGAAAAGCTGCCACAGTAATTTGAATTGTAACTTAACCTTAGTTTCATCTTCTGTTTCAGTTCTCTCATTTGGTCTTTGTGCTTAGGTTTGAACAAACAGAGCCAGCCAACAAATAAAATAGAGTGCATAAATTTAGATACATGTACGTAGGAACTAATTTCACAGGCATTTGGTGATATAAAAATGAAATATATGCATGAACACAGAATCATTTAATTTAAAAACAATTATTTACATATGTTTATCTCAAAAGCATTACCGTCCTTAGTTATGGTTACAAAAGAGAAATTAACTGTATTGAACTATTTGGGTATGCCAGACTAAAGATGCTTAATGGTAATTTTCAAAAAGGTTGATTAATTTTGATAAAATTTGAGCTACCACTAAAGGGCACATAAAAAGACGTGTGTGTGTGTGTGTGTGTGTGTACATATGAGTATATGTATGTGTGTGTGTATATATAGGGTAGCCATAAAGGTCGTGTACAATTTAAGATAGTGTGCAATGTAAAATTGCACGTGAACTTTATGGCCACCCTGTATATAAAGTTCTATTTGTGAGATGGCATGCTGGACACCAGCCAGTGGAATATTGCCAGAGGAAATACTCTTCGACATTTTCATATATTAAAATGAAAATTGTTCTGTTGAGAGAGTCCATGGTTAAACATTAACCCATAATAAGTCACCTTTACATAGATCAGCACACTGGAATAGCAAAAAAATAGTAATGTATGGTAATATAAATGCAGTTAAAAAAGATAGTCTGAGCTAATATAGTACCTTTCTTTTCCTGTATGAACAGGAGTCAATTTGCTGTTGGGAACCCGATCTAATCTGTACCTGATGGACAGAAGTGGAAAGGCAGAGATTACTAAACTTATAAAGAGAAGGCCATTCCGCCAGATTCAAGTCGTGGAGTCACTCAATTTGCTGATTACCATCTCAGGTTTGTTTAAGAACTAAAATTAGCTGAGTAATTATGTAGATTAATTAGACTGCAAACTGGGTTAAACACTTTGCCAGGTTAACGTGTTCATAGGAGAGTGCCTTAAATATGACCTTTAATTGGGGCACCAGATTTTCCTACTTATTTTTCTTACCTATTTACAGTTTAAACTAATTTCCTTTGATTATAATGAATCTAACCTAGGTTAGTGATAAAAAAAAAAACCCACCATTTGCATCCTTGTAGGTTCTTTCTAGAATAGCCTCCTAGAATGTCACAGCTCTAATTTTTGTCCATTCAATTGCATAAGACGACACCAACATTTACCCAATACCTTTCTTGTGATGTGTTACAAGGAACAAAGTGGACAGTAAGCAGATTAAAAAGAGACTTGTCCCTGGCACAGCCTTATTGTGTAAAGGCCTATAGTTAGAGTTATTAACAGTAACAAGAATGGATTCCCTAAAGCAGTGATTCTCAACCTTCCTAATGCTGCGGCCCTTTAATACAGTTCCTTGAGTTGCCACCCACAGGTTGAGAACCGCTGCCCTAAAGGCTTCTACACTTTTCCCTCGCGATAGTTGAACTTCTTCATTTTGACCAGTTAAAGCCTGAACCTCAGAATACCAGATATCAAGGAAATGAGTATGAAAAGTGATTGTTATTACCAAACAGGGCTTAGTATCATGAAAGAACTTGTATTAAAGGTGACGATAGACAAAAGATGACTGAAAGAATGAGGGGAAAATAAAATAAATCCTGTTTACTATTGAATAAAATGGTGCTAATCAATAATTTATACAAGTTTATATCTTTTTATAAAAATATAATATGTATTACATACAATTAGTGTGCAGTTGCTGTGTTGCACACTAATGTGTATATTCCTGAAATGATTAAGTTTGTGTTAAGTTCTGGATAGAGGAAAAAATCTTTTAAAGATATACTCAGACTTCGTGAATTTTTTTAATCACATTTCGTGTTAATTGGTTTATATTTGAGGTACACAGAAGGACCATTTATTTTTTGAAAGGGTCTGGGTGGCTTAGAGACTATATATCTGGATAACAGATTTCTTTACCTTTTTATCTAGTGTTCTGTAACTCAGATGTTCCCTTCTTTAATGCTTGAGCTTCTCTCATAATGGATTATTTTGCATGGAATAGCACTGAGACCCTCAGTATAGGAGGAAACTCAACAGTCTGAAGCACAAATTTACCATTTAAGAATTGACTGGTCATAGACATAGATATCTGAACCCTAACACTGCTTTGAAAATGTTAGGTAAAAACATATCAGTGACCTAAATAAGAATCCTATTGTTGGGCCTAGAAATCTTGAAATAATAAAGCCTACAAGCGACAAAGAAAAAGGACTGTAAAGTCCCTAGATAGGAAGAGAGATGTGCAATTTTAATAGCTTGTGTTTCCTAACTAAATTGTAAGCATTTGATGAGATCTGCAATTAGGAAATGAATTTTAAAGATAAATTAAGTTAAGGAAAAAGTAAGAATACTTGTTCAACTATTTTATAAGCATGCTGCAATGACAAAACACAAAACGGACTCATCCTCAGACATCCCTTTCATATACGGTACACACACTACCAGGGACAGCTTCTAGGACTCTGAACCTCAGAGGTGTCATGACTTAGTGAAAAGCCAAGTCACAAAGGAATGGATGGTAATTCTGTTGCCTATGTAGTGGCTGTCTTAACCTGTACCAGAGAAATATTCTAGATCCACTTCAGACAGGCACATAGATAGCTGGTAGACATTTTGGCTGTATTGTGGAAGTGAGAGACTAGGATAGACTTTGCTATCACTTTTCTAAACCCTGAAGGGAAGATTCGGATGCAATGTAGTTTTTAAAAAATGCATTTTACTTCCATGAAAATATTTGGTTAAAGAGGCAAAATAATTTTACCTTTTGTTCTTCGCACATATGAAAAGAAAGATAGACTGAATTGGAGAACTGTATTTGTTCTTATTTATCAGGCCGTAAGAACAGACTTCGGGTGTATCATCTGACCTGGCTGAGAAACAAGATTTTGAATAATGATCCAGGAAGCAAAAGAAGGCAAGAGGAAATGCTGAAGACAGAGGACGCCTGCAAAGCTATTGATAAGTTGACAGGCTGTGAACACTTCAGTGTCCGTAAGTCATATTTCATGTTAACGATAGCTATATAAATTTTGCGTCCTTTCATTTGGTGAAATATGTAAGTAATTATGAAAGGCAAAATAGAGAAAGGAAAGAATTTACAACTCCAAATACAAAGATGCGTGAACTTCATTGCAACATCATCCAGCTCTTCTAGGCTACCATCTTGGCTGTTTTTTGAGAAATACAATTGTCTGAAATAGCTATTGAAGTTACATTTGGTTTGCTCTTTCACCTTTTTTCCCTTTCTAGTCACCCCGAATATTCCAAATAAACCGATTTTTGTCCTGCCTCTGTAAAACCCTAATTTAACTTTTACAAATATCAGTATCCTATGGGGCTCTCCAATTTGCATGTAGCTTCAGCTGTATAAATGGTCTTTATGTATCTTCACCAACCTGCAGAAACTCAGGGGACATTTTCTTTCTTTGGCACAGGAAAATAGAATCCCTTTATATCGACCAGGAAACTTTATGATGAATCAAAAAGAAAATTATCCTATGATCCACTGACTCTTGTCCTTACTGTCAATATTCATGCGTATAATCACTATTTTCTGTCTGATTAGAGTGTTTTCATATCCCTTTATCTCTTCACAGTCATCTATCGGGTAATGGTTTAACAGCTCCCGGGACTCAGAATCCTGCCATAACTATCAGCATCTGTGAAGTTAATGTCATCCCATTCTGTTCTATTTCTGAAGCAAAAACCTGCTCAACCCTCAGCCGTCTTTTGCTTCTTTCCTTCTTTATTAATTGCCCCTTCAGACAGCACTGATGGCATAAGTGGGAGATAGCTAGAATCATATGAATTGCAACCAGATATTTCCGCTTGACCATTTTGTTCTGCAAATAAAGTGGCTTTCTCAGGACACGTTTTCACATGGGTGTGTATGAACACTTACACCATTAAAGGGAGAAATTAGTAGCCAGGTAATTTAAGCATTAAATAAATACATTATTTTTACTACTTCCTTCCAAATAATTTATGCAAATTTGAAATCTCCTCGGGTAAAAATTATCCTTAGTTGTTAACCCAGGAGTTTATATAGGAAAACTACTTCTGACTGCTTTGTAAATTTTTAGTACAATAAGCTATAGTCAGAAAGGTAGTCATCTTGAAAATCTGCGCTCTTCGTAAGAGAATGGACTAGTTAAGTTCGGTGTTCCAGTTTGCCCTAGATCTTGGAATAACCAAAAAACATTTGTCTCACTGACAGGTGGAACAGTAGCATCTTCACACAGGAGGACAGCAACAGATCATACTTGCCTCCTATTTTTATTGCCTTCCAAGACCCACAAAACAATGAACTGGAACCAATTATGGCCTTGCATTAAATATATAGGAAATAGTTGCTTAACAGAGAATTCCTTTGTTTGTTGGGTTTTTTTTAAACATGTTCTCTTGATCTACTTGTGAACAATATAAAAGAATATGAAAGAGTAAGCTAGATTCAGATAAATGAGGGGGAGAGAAGTAGATTGATGGGTAGAGAGAGGGTCTCGCTATGTCTATCCCAGCCAAGGAAGAGGGATTTTACTGCAAAATATAAATCTGTCAAGTTCCATAAGAACAAAGGGCTAGCTCGGCATTTTTAAAATGCTTTTTATTTAATCTTTTCAAATATCCCTATTGAAATAATTTACATACCAGAGATATACCCAATTAAGCACACAATTTAATGGATTATTAGTATGTTTATGGAGTTGTACAATCATCGCCATCATCTAATTTTTATCACTCCCAGAAGAAACTCCATATCCCTTAGTGGTCATACCTTGTTCTATCCCTCTTCCCTTATCTTCTTCCTCTCACAGTCCCAGGTAACCATTGATCTACTTTCTTTTTCTATAGATTTACTTCTTCTGGACAATTAATATAAATCAAACCATACATTCTGTGTTTTTCTGCGACAGACTTACTTAGGACAATGCTTTCAGGGTTCATACATGTTGTAACACATACAACATGTACCAGCACTTCCTCCTCTTTTATTGTCGAATAGTATTACGTTGTATGGATATACCACATTTTGTTTATCCAGGCATTAGTTGGTGACATTTTCACTTTTTTCACTTGTGACTTGTGTGCTATTAAAAATACTGCTACTATGAACATTTTCATACATCTTCATATATGGGTATGTATGTTTTCTTTTTTCTTGGATACTACTCTTAAGACTCTTTCCCAGTGGCTGTACCATTTCAAATTGACATCAATAATGTACCAGAGCTCCGTCTTCTCTGCATCCTCGTGAACACATGTAGATATCTGTCTTTTGATTCTCACCATCCTAGGGTGTATAAAGTGGGATCTCATTATAGTTTTGACTTGCATTTCCCTGATGATTAATACTGTTCATGTGTTTAGTGGCCATTTGTATATTGTCCTTGGAGAAATGTTTATTCAAGTCCTTTTCCTATTTTTTAATTGGTTTGCTTGTCCTTTTGCTGTTGAGTTGTAAACTTTCTTTACATGATCTATAGACTATTTGTAGACTATTATCTGAATATAATTTGCAAGTATTTTGTCCCATTCTGTAAATTATATCATTACTTTCTTTATAATTTCCTTTGATGAAGCCTGATTTATTCTTTTTTTTTTCTTTTGTTGCTTATACTTTAGTGTCAAGATATGAGAATCTATTGTCATATTCAGTATCATCAAAATTTATTCTTATGTTTGCTTCCCAGAGTTTTATCGTTTTAGCTCTTATATTTAGGTTTTTAATCCACTTTGAATTCATTTTGTATGTGGCATGAGATTTGGGTTACAACATCATTATTTTGCTTAGGGATATTTAGTTGTCCTAGCACCATTTGTTGAAAAGGCTAGTCTTTCCCTATTGAATGGTGTGGCACCATTGACCATAGATGTACGGGTTTATTTGTCATCTCCCAATTCTATTCCATTGATTTTGCGCTCATTTTAATGTCAGTATCATATTGTTTTGATTACTTCAGTTTGTAGTGATTTGAAATTTGGGAGTCTTCCAATTTTGATCATCTTTTTCAAGATTTTTTGGCTATTCAGAGCCTCTTGCAATTCCATGTAAAATTTAGGATCAGCTTTTCCATTTATACAATAAACGGCCATTGGGATTTAACAGGGATTGCATTGAATCTGTAGAGACTTCTTGGATAGTATTGCTATCTTAAATATGTTAAATCTACACCCCATCTATGAATACAGGAATTTTTTCCCATTTATTTTGTTCTTCTCTAATTTCTTTCATCAATTTTCTATAGTTTTCAGTATTCTTGGAAGCTAATGCCTGCACTTCATAAAATTGTATAGCAATATTGCCACCTTTTGGGGGCATCAGATTGTAACCAAATAGCTTTTCTAAAAATATACTATCTGTGGTCTTACATTGTGTTTATGACATTTTTGATGAAAATAAAAATACTTCAGGGTTCTTATTAACTATATGGCATTGTTACATCTTTATATTTTATCATTATAGTCCAACATGAAGAAACGACCTATATTGCAGTTGCTTTGAAATCATCAATTCACCTTTATGCATGGGCACCAAAGTCCTTTGATGAAAGCACTGCTATCAAAGTGAGTAATCTCCTTTTCATTTAGATCACAGTTTTCCTTTTTAGAAGAAATTGTAAACAGGACAGTATTTTGGAATACAGATGCATTCTTCTATAATTAATGTAATTTGAATATATCATGTTAATAATTATCGTTTAACCCTTTTCTAGACAATTCACAGGCACCACAGCAAGGGAGAATGGGAGGGAAATTCCTGACCCCTCCCCTTACAGGACTTCCCCATCAGCTCCTCACTCCTAATTCCTGTAGTCAACATGAAGACCTTCTCTTCTAGTGCCCAAACCCAGGCTTTGGGTTCCACACCCAATGACTTGAAGCTAAGAAAGTCCCTGTTCTCTCTTAGTGGGGGGTGGAGAGAAGAGGGAAGGTAAGGAAAGGTATGGCAAAGGTAGAAGAGGCAACCCATTGGAGGAAGGAGTGAAGAGAAAGTCTTTGCTCCATTACCATGATTACAATAGGTGAGGGTGGGAAGGAACTGGGTGGGCCCATATTCCTTCTAAGCTGAAACTCTAGACACATTTCTCTCTAGAATTATTGCAAGGCATTGTGGTTAGGCTTACCAGTACTCTTTCAACCTTTATTATGGTTTAACTGAACTTCTATGGCTCAGCCACAGAAAGTAAATATTCAGTGTCCCAAACAATTAAGCTGATGATGATTTTTTAAAACCACATCCCATAAAGTGCATACTGTTTTCATCTGGAGTAACTGATTTACAATGCTACAGAATTCCACTTAAACCTGATTATTTTGTATTTAATCTCTAGTAATGAGTGCTGATTAATGAACTGGTGGTATTCTATCAAGCCCAGTCCTGACCTCAAATATATATCAGAATCAGCTGGAGTATTTGTTAAAAGTTTAGATCTCAGACCCAACCCAGGCTAAACTAGTAGGTCTGGAGTCAGGGCTGGGAATCCACAATTTTAGCAGATGTTGCAGGTGATACTAAATTGGTTGGCCAATAGACAGGTTTTTTACAAAGCACTGATAGGGACACATCCTGATAAATGTCAGGAAGATATTTATGAAATGCTTTTGTATCTTAGATCAGGATCCATTTACATGGTATATGTTGTAGACCAAAACATCACATGTATACAGTAAAAGTGGGCTAATACTTATGACTGCCTCTCAATGTCTATTTGCAAAAGAACTATGTTCTTCTATAAATAGCACAGACAATTTATATATATATATATATGTTATATATATGCACATATATATACATATATACACACACACACACAGTGTGGGTCTGGCCTGAAACAAATCACATACCTGATCTGATCTCCCTAAATTGGGTCTTGGATCACCTGTCAGTATTTGGATATGGGTTTATTCTTGGATGTCTGATGATTGGTCAGAGTTGCCTGGTATGGAGCTGGAAAGCAAAGAGATATAAGTACCAAGACTCTGTCTAGCCTAATACACAGGTCCTGGTTTAAGTCCTCTCTCAGTTCTTGAATCTCATTTCATCACTACATTGTGATAAATCCTGTGATGCTAAGTCCTCTACTATGACTGGATCTTGGCATTGAATCCTATTTGGTCCCTTGTTTCCTTGGACTAGCAACCATAGGAGCCTGTAGTGCACCTAGTCTATGGTAGGTTAACATGTCTGGCCCTTTTCATTCCCTACCAAGTTTGCATTGATCAATCAGCAGACTCCGAAGGAGACTACATGTCCTATGAAGCCTATATACGAATACTGGCAAAAATACAGGCCGCTGATCCAGCGAACCGGTTTAAGAGACCAGATGAGCTCCTTCATTTGCTGAAGCTCAAGGCAAGGAACTTAAAGGCAGAAAACAGAGAGCAGGGCTCTTAATGATCGCAGCCAATTTGACATTTGAAAGAAAACTTAACATTTAGAACCTGAATATAATCATATCCTTGTTGTAGTAAAAGACCTAAGAAAAAATATAATACATAGATCTCTTAATACTTTATACTGTTAAAAAATCCAGTGAGGTTATATAAATTTATAAACCTGGCCAAAGAATGGGGGAAATTTTGCCTTTTGCCTTTTGCCTAGAATGTCATTTTTGGCCTTTTGGCCATATTTGGTTTTATATTCATAGGTATTTCCAACACTTGGTCATAAGCCAGTGACAGTTGACCTGGCTATTGGTTCTGAAAAAAGACTGAAGATTTTCTTCAGCTCCTCAACTGGATATCACAGCATCGATGCAGAATCTGAGGTTATGTCTGATGTGACCCTGCCGAATAACGTAAGATAACAACTTCAGATCCCTAGAAATTTTTGTATGCCTCTATCTCAATTTATAACAGTTTAAATGAATAGGTTTATAAAATGTGATTAACAGTATCTATACTGGAACTGAGACCTACAAGGTAAGTATACAGTGCCAGAAAGTGATCATGTACAAACAAATGTCACTGATGATTTCTTAGTCCACATAGCTGAATCTTTTTTGGCAGATAGATTTCATTTATCCAGCATAGTGTTTTCTTCTGTTTTCTTTGAATAAAATTTGCATTTAAATCTGGACTTCTACTGATAAACCAGAAGACCTGACAACATCAGGCCCATGTTACTATCAGGCCGTCATCGACTAGAACTGATGCATGCCTGCCTCCTTTTCAATGGGATATGTGCTCTACATTCTCAATCCATCCATCTTTCTGCATTTATAATAACTGGCCCTAAGAGCTATTTGGATTTATAGTCCTTGCTTTAGTTCTTCTGCTCTCCATAATGCATTAACAGTTTTTTAAAAAATATAACGCTGCTCTTATAGCATTGTTCTATGTATCTTCCTTCACTGTATTACTTTTACTGTGACATATAGTAAATTATAGTAAACTGTTCTCTTATATCAATTATAGTTGGAATTTCTGATCAAAAGGAATCACCATTTTAATAGCAAATGCATCTTGACTTTTCACTCAAATAATTACATATAGTGAAATAATAGCATAGCATCTAAAATAATGGATAGTTGCAAAAGTACTACACACACCATTTCAATAAAGAGTTCAAGCATAATATTCTCCCACACCATCTAAAATTTAATCCCACTGTATCCAAAATTTATTGGTAGAAATAATATCTGTTCTGCAAAAAAATATATTTAAAAAGGAGGCCTGAGCCAGCAGTTTCTCTGCTTTACCCTTTTCTAATTCCCAATTTGTATACAACTAAAATTTTAGCAGCTTAACATACAGAAAGTCCAGGAGAAAACTTCTATGTACTTTTAAATCACTGTAGTCATGTGATATTTTCAATAAGTTTCAGAATTATCTTCTACATCTCTAACAAATTACATAGACCAATTGTCAGGATGTTAGTGGAAACAATTTTTCAAGTCTTTTGGTCATGTTAATAATCATTAGTTGATCATCTAGGTGTTGCCCATGATTACATGGAAATCACCCTGTTAATAAGGTAGAAAATCCTGAACCAATCCCAGTCAAAGCTACTGAAATATGAGGTTAGGTTAATTTTAATATAAATATCATGTTACTCGTCATTTAAGAGTGTCTTAAATAGCTCTCTGCACCTTTATTGCCATATGACGTCAGATAGCCTTTATTTAGCATCTACTGTGATACTGAACATTGGAGCACTGGTCCAAGTTTATATTCAAGAAAGTTGAACCTTGTTTTCTACCTGACTAATAAGCAAGGAAAATTATTTCCTTTTTTTAGGATATAAAAGTGTATGAGTTTATTTTATATTTTAGAAGGAGAGAGGGAAGGAGGATAGAGAAGAGAGTGGGGAAAGAGAGAGAGAGAAGCAAGCAAGGAGGAAAGCTCAGGGAGACAGGATGACATCCCAAAGAAAGAAAGGAAGAATGCCCGTTGAAAATTATTTCCTTTATTTAATACATTTTTTATTTTTTTTAATTAAATCATAAACACATAGATCATTACACTGCAAGCTAGAATGAGAGAAGATGGGTTTTTAAAAATCATTTTATGACCTAATTAGGATACTTTATATATACATTCAAAAACAATTTTTAGCTAAATGCTCTTGTGTCTTGACCCATTAAAAGAGAAAGGAGTCCTACATCAGGGAGGGGAGGGTGTCCTCTGAAACAGAATGTACTAAAAATAATATTTTTCCAAGAGTGCTAGATTACAAAAGCTGTGATGCCACAAGGGAACTCTGTGTGCTAAAGAATATCTGGTTGCTTCAGGAATCATCCGAGAAGCAAGAGAATTACCTCGGAGGCTGTCGCAGCCGTTCAGTTTTATTCTAAATAGATTTTATCAAGAAAACCTTCTTTCTTGCGATTTCTTTTCCTCTCTTCCTCATCTCTTTTCTCGTTCAATTGCTCATGCAAGTGCCCAGGGAACGAATTAAAATTGCTTTTCGGCTCTGGATCCCTATTTTAGTTTTAAGGATTGTTGTTGCTGAGACATGGCCTCAAGCACTTGGCCTGAGTACGCTGGGTTTGGCAAGTATATAGTTTCTGACCTTTTTTTGTACTTGCTAATCTGGAGAAACAATAGAGAAAAACAATTTTTCGTTTCTCAGGGAAATACTGTTCATGTGACATTATCTGTAGTTTAAGCACATTTGTCACATTATTTTACGTGTCACGAAATTTAGAAATGTTTAGGTATTTCTTAGTATTTGCTATTATGTCACCTGGTATGTCTCTGAGTTTGAGCATTAAGTATATTTTAAATTATATTCATTAGATAAGTCCCACCTTTTTTGCAAAGTAATGATGACTGTTATATTTCAAGCTGTGAAAATATTATAAAGCTACTTGTCAGGATTTTAAGCTGAAGATATTTTTAGGTTAATTTTCTATTTCTGATTTGAAAGAATTCACTGATAACCAAGGATCATGCATATGTTACTTGATCTGCATATTCCTTATTAAAATGTTTGTTAAGGTGCCAAAATGAATCTTAAATTCAAGTCTGTAACCAGCAATGTTACTTCTAGCCCTTTACATAATACTTTATGCAATTTCAAGAAACTTCTCTGTGTTGGAAATATATCTCTGCTTTTTAAAAAACAAGGCTTTCTCCTTAATATGAAGAAGAACATTAAACAGTGATGATTTAATGATGTAAGGAAAGCAGCTCTTTACAGGTGTGGGATAGCATGCTTGAGAATTTGGAAATAGGTTTCTCTTCCCTTCTTGTGCTTGGAACCTCTTTTGGTCTTTACTGCTCAGCCAAGCTGCTTCAATTAAAGTAGTAGGGATAAAATAGTGGACATAGAAATCTTTATGAAACATAATTCCAGCCCCTGGAAATCATTGTATCACAGAATATCATCATTTTACCTGATGGCTTGGGAATTGGCATGATGCTTACCTTCAATGCGGAAGCCCTGTCTGCAGAAGAAAATGAACAACTCTTCAAGAAGATCCTTGACGTGTGGAAAGACATACCATCTTCCATAGGTATGTACAACATTTCTTTGTCCTTCAGATGATCCCGGAGAAACTTTTTGAGGGTAAAAAAATGTTTCCTAAGAAAAGGCTTCCTGATTTATATTACATCTTCTCAAGGAAAATAGGGTTAATTTGGGGTCCTATATATTTATTCCCTTAGTAAGTTGATGGCTGTGTTTGTCATATGTTTAATGAATTCATAAGAGTCCTACAAAGAGTCTCATTTTGGTTGAGTTGTTCATTTGAAATATTATGTAACTGAAACAGGAGCTAATTCTTTTCCTTAATAATCTGTAATTTTGTTTTAACTCCCTTTGCTTGCAGACTTTACACAGATGTTGAAAATGCTTCTTTTCATCACATTGATTTTGGGGGTTTCCTTTTATCTTAGGAGATTGCCAAATAGTTCTAAGAGAAGAGAAAAATATTTCTACTTTGTATAGTCAACAGTATTCTGTTTAGTGAGTGATATTCCTGGGAAGAATCAAATCATTTAGAGAAGAGCTAGATGTGACTGACCGGAGTGCCTATTAGGTACCACCCAGATGGCAACAAAGAAAACTGCCTTTTCATCTTCATCAGACCAGAACATTTTTTTTTCCTTCCTAACCAATGCAGAACTCCTGAGCTAGGAACTCCAAATAATTTGAGGTTCTTATGTATTTTTGTGAGGTTTAGTGACTACAGGGATAATTCTAGAGAGGGAACATAAAGCATGTGAAAAGTAAAAATGTTAGAGTAGAATGATTAGATGGAAGATTCCTTCCCGAAAGGAAGAGGACTTCAAAGGAAAAAATAAAGAATAAAGGCAGCTCTGTGTGTGTGTGTGTGTGTGTGTGTTGGGTGAGAGGAAGGTGGTCTATCAAGAAAAAAGCCAGAAGCCTCTGAAATCTCTATAAGGTGACTAAATGTGATCCTCATGTGGCTTTAAGGACCAGTTTGATCGAACTGCTTTTTAATGAACATTTTTGATACGGGATGATAGCACTTTGCATTGCAGCTGCAGAACCCTTTCTTTTTTGCATACGTAGTCAATGTTAACGATTGTCCTGAAAACCTGCTCCAATTTCAACAAACAGGTAAGAACTCACAGAGGCTTTAAAACCATTGTAAGTGACAGAAGGTAAAGGCATACAGTAGAATTGATGGATCTGGGGCACAAAGATGTAAAAATAATGAATCATTCTGGCCTTTACTTTTGTGATCAATATGTTAATCCGAAATGGGAATACGGAAATTCAGTTCAAATGAAAAACTGGACAAACTGGGATAGTTACACCACTGTACAGTCATAAAGAGTCAAAGGTATCTTGAAAAGTCAACTGGTACAGCTCTTGTCCTTAGGCAGGACAACTTCTGAACTAAAACAAAAGGTTATTTTAAATTGCTAGAATTTGAAAAGCATCTCTGTGTGAAATGAATTATATCACTATAAGAACCTAATATTTTAGTTTGTGTATTAAGGATATTTTGACAGTATACAAAAGACTATAGTGGAACCCTGATATTAAGAAAATCAATTCCTTTATTTCTCTAAAAACAATTGCTTTGTTATTTAAAACTAACCCAGAGGTAGATTTCTCATATCTAAAATTTTACATTTCCTTAAACCATAATAAATATGTTCAATCATAAGATCATTACTCTGCATTTCCAAACAAAAAATGGAGGCTTATCAATTACAGCAAGTGTTACTGAGTGTTCCCACTTCCAAATCATCAGGTTCCATCTCAGAAAAGCAAGTTAGTTCAGTAGGCTAAGTGAAGTGGCATATTTATGTGTTTCAGGACTAAGGTGGAAATTACATGATGCCAACTCAGCTGAGTACTTGGACTCAGCTATTAACTTTGCTCTAAGTTTAGAAGTTTTTGCTCTGTGTGGTTGTTGACAAAAATACCATTTTAAATGAAGAAGTCACACAGGTAAAAACAAAATTGAAATCCAGATAGACTAAATCTATTACTTGATCACATCTCTCAGGCCACTGATTCTCCTTATTTCCCTTGTACCTAGGATGACTTTCATTCTAGTCTAAAATTGGAATTATAAAGTCTTCTTCCGGGACAGTCTCATTTTTCTGAGTCAAAATATGATTGTAATTTAATTATAATTTTGATGTAAACTTTATTACATAAATATTTTTTATTTATAGTGTGAAAGGAATCAGGAGATAAATTATTGGTAGGTTTAGGTTGAGGGAATCAAAACATCTCACACTATGCCTATGAAAAGTCATTTTTGTAAATGTTGAATAATTCCTTTATGAGTCCTTTGATGTACATTTAATGTATAGGCCAGGTAAAATTTGGTTTAAACAAAGGCATCCTAGAACTTTTAAGATAAGGAAAAATTTTTTTAAAACCTATCTTGTAATTATATCAATGGAGATGTCATTCTCTTTGTAATAAAAAAAAAAATGAAAAGTTAGGTGGTGCCTGTGGCTCAAAAGAGTAAGGCGCTGGCCCCAACTGCTGGAGGTGGCGGGTTCAAACTCAGCCCCAGCCAAAAAATAAATAAATAAATAAAAATAAAGTAAAAGTAATTAGTTGCAATTCTTGTTTCATTCATATTAACATGGGAATAAAGTTTTCTTACTTTGTTGCTGCCCAGACTACTTTCACTTGAGTTAAAATTTTGATATTATTTTAAATATCAGAATTTTATTTGTTAATGGACTCTTTTAAAATTTTTTTTTGAGACAGTCTCACTATGTCACCCTTGGTAGAGTGTTGTGGCAGCACAGCTCACAGCAACCTCAAACTCTTGGGCTTAAGCAATTATCTTGCCTCAGCCTCCCAAGTAGCTGGGACTACAGGTGCCTGCCACAACGCCTGGCTATTTTTTTTTTTCTTCTTGTTGTTATAATAGTTGTTCTTGATTGGCAGGCCTGGGCCCAGTTTGAATCTGCCAGCCCTGGTGTGGCTGATATCCTAGGCACCAAGCTATAGGCGCTGAGCCTGTTTATGTACTTTCCCCCCTAAATTTCATAAAAAACATCAACTTGAAAGTTAAATACACAATGGTAATGCTGTTCCCTGTGCCAGGAGATCCCTTACAACACCAGCCCCATATCTGGCTATTTACATAATTAAGTTTATGGAAAATATTGTCATGCCTTTCTTGCCCTGAAGTATTATAAAATAAGACCCCCAAATTAAAAGTCTTAATAAAAATTTCCTGGGCAGGAGAAAGCATTATCAAATTAGCTTCAGTTCTTCCTGTAACATGGTAGTTTATTAAATTGCATAAGGGTTGCCACAGTCATTGTTTGAGAAAGTGATGTTTTAACAGTTTTAATTTTTTTTAATATACTGTGAATTTTAAAAATTCTTTTTATAGTTTTAATTAGACTCAAGTTTCTATGTCACTTGATCACAAGTACAACCCATTATTAGGAACACTGTGCCTCACCTAGAGTATAGACTAAAGAATAGCTCTGAGTCTATTAGAATTTCTACAAATGAGGGACAGTTAACCCTTAGCTTTTTCTGTGATGTTAGAGAATACAAATACAAGAATTAATTGAGATCTTGTAACTCAGTGTTGGTCACAGGGAGCTTTTAAATAGCTGGTTAGAACACCACTCCTGAGCAGAAAAGTGGCCAAATGACTGACTATAGGAGGGGGAAAAGGATGTGTTAACCTGAACTATAATAATGAGCCTCTTAATAATGAAAAATAATGAAACCTTGAGTATGGTTATAATTTCCTATGACTGCTGGAACTATTTTGTGTTTTTCTGATTTTTTCATTTGTATTGTAGCTTTGGAGTGTTCACAGAGAACTACAGGATGGGGCCAAATGGCCATTGAAGCGCGCTCATTGCAGCCAAGAGTTCTGGAAAGTGAGCTGAAACGCAGGTCAATTAAGAAGCTGAGATTCCTGTGTAGCAGAGGTGACAAGGTACAGTTTATAGAACCTAGTTAGAGCAAAAACAGAATAACTCTTAAAAATTAACTGAAGAAATGTATATCCTTTTCCTTCTGGCCATAAATATATTTGTGTTGTATCTTTTAAATTGGCATACTGTTGATAAAAATAATTTTACATTTTGCAGTAGAAACATTGATTTAATAAATGATGAAGTTGGGTTTCAAAACACCCATTTTGGAAAAAAAGAAGTAAAAATTCTAGTGACGTCTTAAGTGAAGATGTTTGGTCTTCCCTTTTTTTGTTTGGTGCAAAATCCTTTATTGTCTTAGACCCACAGTCTCTTTCATGTTCATACTAAAAAGATATTTTTAAACAAAATGTTTGAGCACATCTGCCTTTTATAGCTTTCAACACAATCCAGTGACAAAAGTAGGGAAAAATACTGAGTTTTCTGAGCACATGTAGGTCTGTGCTAGGTACTTTAATAGCTATTTCAGTTTATCTTCATGAATAGATATCACATCATTCATTATGATGTCCATTTGGCCAAAATGAAAAGTAAAATCAAGAATTAGGAATTATTTTCTGATTTGATCAATTTCACCAATGCAAATAGTTTAGTTAAAACTTTTGTTTTATAAAATCATTATCACTCCTATATACCAAGAGAAATAAAAAAATGTAGAATGAAGAAATAATCCTAATAAGATTAGAAAAAATTCATGTTTATAAGGGATTTCAGAGGATTCAAGTTCAGGTCAGGATAAAAGACTCTTCATTAAGCCTCAGGGCCTGTAACTCAGCGGCTAGGGCTCCAGCCACATAACCCGGAGCTGGCGGGTTCAAATCCAGCCCGGGCCTGCCAAACCACAGTGATAACTACAACCAAAAAATAGCCAGGGATTGTGGCAGACACCTGTAGTCCCAGCTACTTGGGGGGCTGAGGCAAGAGAATCACTTAAGCACAGGTGTTGGAGGTTGCTGTGAGCTGTCATGCCACAGCCCTCTACCCAGGGAAACACAGTGAAACTTGTCACAAAAAAAGAAACAAAACAAACACTATACATGGAGGAAATATGCCAACATGCCGTGTAAAGAGATGCATTGGCAGGAACTTTGTTTGGGGTTAGACATACCTAGGATGTGGCCCAATGTCTGTCACCTAACAAAGTTTGAGAACCTGAGTCGTTTGAGCTTTCTGATTCTTAGTTCCTTCATCTGCAAAATAGGAATGTGAATAACTGATTTGGGATGAGTTGCAAAAATGAGTGATGGTGTGTCTAGGGTAAATATCTCACAGATTGCCTGGCACATAAAACGTGTAACACACAGTCAGGGGTAGCTAACGTATCTTTTAATCATCATTATTGTTATGTCACAAACCCTCCCATGTATAGATAGCCATGTGGATGTCAAAAGCCTTAGTCCTAAGAAGCAGGCCTCTTTGATAGTTTTGTCCATGTTCCGTTCTAATTTTCTTGATGGCACAGCTTATATTTACACAATGTGTCCATTTCATTTTAGAATCTATTGATGTCAGTCCATTTCACTGAAATGGAAAGTAGCATAAGCAGATGTTAAGTGCTTGCACCTCAAAAATAATAACTATATGAGGGACTAGCACTTGTCCATTAGCTATTTAACCCTTCCATAATGTATACAGAATTCAAAACAGCATGTCATGCCTGGTAAATACATACATGTTGTTTATCACTTTCTCATTTTTTTATTTTTTTAAAGAAATTTTACAAAATTGTGAAAAAAGGAAGAAAAGTGCACCAAATAGAATATTTCAGTGGCTTCCTAAACACAAGCAGTGATGGTCAACGACATCTAAATAATTTGTTTCATTATATTTAAAGAAAAACCAACTTGAGCAAAAGTAGACTATTGTTTTAAAAAAAAAAGGAAAGATTCATTACTTCAGCAGATGAATGCCACCTGCCCAGAAAAAAAAAAAGAACTAATTTTATTTAAATTATAAAAATTACAAGTATATAGAATATGGTAAACGGCTATGTTTTAAATGTATAATTTAAACTCTGGTATGGCTTAAATTCTTATTCTTTAATTTGAAGAAAATCTGTTCTCCTCAAACCAGTACAGCTTAATATTTCAATTAGCAGATGCAGAAAATTAAAATTACAGTTATATCAAATACCTGGTTACAGTGTATAAAACATCTACTGATAGTGTCTTTCTTTTTAAAGGTGTTCTTTACCTCTATCCTGCGTAATCGCCACAGCCGCGTTTACTTCATGACTCTTGGAGAACTTGAAGAACTCCAAAGCAATCCTGGTGATTAAAAATTCCACTGATTGTTACATTTGCAAACTTCACTCATGCAATTCGAGTCTGCAGATTTGAGAGTAAACGAGCATTCAGTTTTCTTGTTAGCGAAAAATTAAATCAGAAACTTAACTTTTAATGTAGCACAGAATAGTTTTAATGAGAAATGCAGCTTTATATATAAAATTAACTATAGCAAGCTCTATGTACTCCAATGGTGTACAATATCTTTTGCACAAACTTTGTAACTTTTGTTACTGTGAATTCAAACATTTTACTCTTTGGACAGTTTGGACAGTATCTGTATTCAGATTTTATAACACACAGTAAAGACACCTGTTAGGAGTTAGATGATAAGCAGCTATCCAAAGAATGATCTCTACGTAAGATTTTTCTGAAAAAGAAAATCATTGAGAAAACATATGTGATTTTTCTAAACCAAAGGTTAGAGCATGAAACAAAAATCTTAAGGACTGTGTTATAACCCAGACTAAGGTTGAACAACCTGCATTCCCAGAGAAAACTACAGAGATGAAGAGGAAAATGCTGGCCATTTCCTCACTGCATCATAACAATTAAGCTCACAGTTAATAACCAGTTGTGTTCTGTCCACCCCATGTTAAGCTGAGTTTCTTCCAATAAGAAGCAAGGAAGAAAGCCTCAAATGTTTGGTTTTCCTCAGATGCCCCAAAGATGTGCAATAGCTGTTTTTACAAACCACCAAATAATACACTTGCCAGCCTGAATACAGGACTGAACTCCTATATACATGTACTGTAGAATAAGTGTTCTTTTTAAAAAAAAAAAATACTTTAAAGTTAGGCGTCAAATTCTACCCCTGCAAGAAGATTGGTTGATTTATCAAAATTATTATCTGGTCAAGAGTATAACTATCAAACACCATCAAATATTTGCCTCATTCCAGATTAAACTGTATACAAATTTCCCTTCAGTTATTAAACAAAACCAATGAAAAAAAAAAAAACACTTTTACTGCTAATTCCTGTATTTTTCATGTTTCCATGTTTATAAAATTAGAAATTAACCTAAAATTATTTCAGTGATAAGTCCACATGTAGGGACTAAATGTTGCAGGTGAACAAAAGAAAAAGTTTTCAAAGTATACGACTTTTGTCATTAATCAGGTCTGCAAAATTAACATAGTGAAACCCATGCTAGTCCATCACCCAAATATGTCATAGACGCCATAGATAGGTGAAGTTTGGTCACCTGTGATAACTGCTACCTGGTGAAAAGCATAATTTCTGCATATCCATCCTCAAATACCATGGTTAGTTCTGGGGCAATACAAAAGCAACAGAACTACCACAAAGTATACCTCAATATAGTTCCTCTAGTTCTGCTTCTAAAATTTGAAGACAGTACTAGTGGGATAATAATTTTCAAACTACCTGGTTAACCAAAATACAAAAGCAGCTGACGATGTGTGATTTCATAATAGCACATTATTTCTTGGCACTTGGTGCTAGAAATGAAGCTTTGGATTTTCCTAACCATTTATATCAAGAGTGTAGTAGCTCAATAGTGAAAATTTAGGAGAACCTGAATCCACGAATTAAAAAAAAAAAATGTGATTCACATTTCTGTTACTGTGACACAATAATGTGATCCTAAAACTGGCTTATCCTTGAGTGTTTACAACTCAAATGACTTTTTAAATGCAGTAGCTTAAAAAGAAAATCTTTTATGTCAAATTATTTCCTTAGAAGTAGTCTTCATTATTATAAATTTGTACACCAAAAGGCCATGGGGAACTTTGTGCACGTACCTCATCGCTGAGCAAATGGAGCTTGCTATGTTTGAATTTCAGAAAATTTTCTCATTTAAGTAGTATGTAGAATCAAGTCTTTTAAGAATTTCTTCATATTTACTCAGAGTTAAGCTTAAAATAAGTTTTATCTTAAAATCATATTTTTAAAGCAGTAAGACAGCAAATTATCTTAGGAAGTTAACTCCCATTGTGCTCTGTGGCAGTCATTCCAGTAAACATACACAACAGTGAACTGCATGTACAAAGAAGTCCCAAGTAACCACACAGGAGAGATTGTAAATGTGTAACTGAGCATTAAATGATAGGTGTTAATAAAAAAAGGAAGGTGGGCACCTATCAAGAACAGAGAGTGAAATGTTGGGTAGCCAAATAGAAAGGACTGGAAATATTTAAAGTGGTTCATAGGTAATGAATATTTCCAATTTAAATGTAAATCCATCTGAATCTTTTACATCCTTTGCCAGCTGAAACAAGAAAGTAAAGGGACAATGACATTTCATAGTCAGTGCACTTTGTAATTGACAGAAGAAATTACATCTACATTTTTCCAATAGCAGCAGTGCCTGGATGCCCCAGTCCATCACAGAGGTGTGCAGGGAGTCTCCTTACTAGCTAGTTTCCCTATCCCTGTGATCTGAAGGATGAAAGTTCTGGCAAGTTGTGAGCAGCACTGGGGACAAAGTATCATTTTATTTTGGTGTGATCTGTTTTTTTTTTTTTTCCACCAAAGCCCTTGTCCAGAATAGAAAGGTATCATTGGAAGTATTTGAAAAGTAGAAAACGATGAATGAAAAGGGCTGATGAGAACATTTCTGAGTGATTAAGTCAGTTGAAGTAAGGTAAGATCCTCAGAGGAAAAGAGGAAACAGTAAGAAGGGGTAATCTTTAAGGTAGTGAATCATGCAAAGCAGAATCACGCATGCAGAATCTCCCACACACAAGTACATACACACACAATCATTAGAATGCATACATTTCAATATTTTCAATGCTATCCATTTCTAGATAAATGAATCACTAAGTATTTTCTGCCAAGATTCATTTAGTTGGAACGGTATCCATAAAACTAGGAATAATGCCACAGAAATTCAGTGGGATATTTTAAGTACTCTTCAATTTATTTCAAGCAACATGCCTACTTAAATTGATTTGTATTCAATCTATACTCTAGAAAATATAGCAACAATCTTCAAGAGTGCTAACTGTTATATCAAAATGTCTGCAACGAATCATTGTTTATCTGCTAAAAATAAAGTTTTAAAATTACTAGTTGATGTCATTATTTAAATAACTTGTCTCAAGCCTTGGAATTAGGATTCATCAGAGGACTATTCATTTCTTTATGTAGTGATGCACTGATTGTAATATATTAGGGGTTCAGCTTATTACTGCATTTGGAATTCTGGCCAAAGAGGTGTAGAATAATCTGATTAAAGAAAAACTTTCTGGCTGTAGTGGTGAAATTAGAAACTGATTAATTTTCCTCTAAAAATGTAGGACTTTGCACATAGGCACAGACTCACATAGCTTGGGTAAAACCCAAACAAGTTTTAGCTCTGCCCTCCCTCCCATCCCACCGCAGTATCTTTAAGTCCAGGAAAGAAGAAGGAGGAAGAACCTATCCACTGAGAGAAGTAAATATGTCTAGTCTCTTACATTTAAGAAACAGCTTAGTGAATACTGAGTCCTTCCTTTGAGACCAGAAGAACAGCACTTCCCTCAGCAGCTTCCAGCAGCGGAGCATTAGCGCCAAGTGCATTCTATTAAGACAGGACATTCTAGACAGTTGTTCATCAGGCTTTCCCCTTAGGGACTGTTGGGCGTCATCCTAATTTTTCAAGTATGGCCAGGCATTCAGGAGCTGGGCTACCTGGACATATCATGTTTGTCCAGGCTTTTTAAGGCCAAGTCCAAAATGTTTCATTATAATCAAATAGTTTTATTTGACTTTATTATAGGGCCCAATGAGTTCAACCACTTTAAAGGACAGTGCTGTGAGCCAAGAAGTAAAAGTTTCATCACAAATTGGAATTAGGCCACCAAGGCCAAGAGACAGTTATATGCTGGGAACCCTTTACCAGTACATGAGAACAGGGTAGGTCATGAATAGGAGTCATTAGTCATTAGCTATTAATAATTTTATTACTTACAGTAAGAGCAGTGGGGTTTATAGACTCTAATGCTGTGAATCTGTTGACTGAATCTTTTTCCAACACTAATTGCCATCAAATCTAAGAGCACTTTTTTTTTTTTTTACTTTTTAGAACATTTACCCTGATTTAAGGATACTCAGGTTCCTAAAGATAACAGCCATTGAGTGTGGCTACTACTTAATTCGAAATACTGAATGGTGGCAAATCATGAATTAAGGTCAAACTGACCTTTCTATTTCAGAAAGCACTTTTAATATGTCATATTTTATGTTATTTAAAACCATGTCAAACTGATTCAAAAATAATAGTTCCAGAGAAGCTAGTCCACAGCCTACTTTGTAGATGAATAAAAAAAATCATATTTGAGATTAACCATTTCTTAGAGCTTTGCCACCCTATATGTCAAAGTGCCTCATTTGGTGCTTAATATACAGAAAATGTTCAATAAAAATGTGACTTGAAGGGGGAGAAATAGGATGTTTCTTGCCAGAATTGTTCTTTATTTAAAATTCACAAATCCAGGGAAGAGCAGAGAGAGGGAAGGAGGGAGTGGGTGGGGGTGGTCACAGTGTGTGACACATCTTTTGGGGGTGGGACTTAGAGACTTTACCTAACAAATGTAATCAGTGTAACCTGGTTCTTTGTACTCTCAATGAATCCCCCCAAATTAAAAATAAATAAATTCATGGCTAGGTGCCAGCCAGATACATCAGAGATGGCAGGTTCGAACCCACTCTGGGCCTGCCAAACAACAATGACAACTACAACAACAACAAAAATAACCCGGCATTGTGGTGGGTGCCTGTAGTCCCAGCTACTTGGGAGGGTGAGGTAAGAGAATCGCTTGAGCCCAAGAGTTGGAGGTTTCTGTGAGCTATGACATCACAGCACTCTACCAAGGGTGACATAGTGAGACTGTGTCTCAAAAAAAAAAAATTCACAAATCCATCTGTTGTTGCATGGAAATATCTGTGTTCTGGTGACCAAAGACCTAGGGCCTATCTTTGGTAATTTCAAAGGATTTTTGTCCCACAAACCTGAAATGAAACAAAGCATAGATCAATATAAAAATTGTGTCTTTTAAAATTTTATCTTCAAAACAACACATAAGGACCATTATGTCCCAAGGCTCATGAGTAATGACAAAGATTGTTTGATAACAAAACAAAACACAATTTTTTTTTCTTTTGTAGTTTTTGGCCGGGGCTGGGTTTGAACTCACTGGCGCCCTACTCCTTTGACCCACAGGTGCTGCCCCCCACAAAAAAAAATTTTTAAAGTCATTCTTCAACTGGATTTTTTATACAATGCGAGTCTTTTTTACAACATTAACTCTTTATACTGTAGCATCCTGAGACATATTTAAGTATCTTCAGAACTTGTCAATACACATTTTCAAATGTTCAATGCATTTAAATTATGTTCTCATAACCGGATAGATCCCAGGCATTCTTGGAAGGCACTTTCGTAGCAGATGACATAGTCTGTCAGACTTGTTGGTGGGCAGGTAGCCATTAAAACACATGCCAAATGGTACCATGTATCCAAGTCTAAAAAGCAATCATGTTAACATCATGCAGTTGAATCTCACAAGTTGAGATAGTTGAAAATGAATGTAATCAAGTTCAAGGCAAATTAAACTACACAAGAAAAGCTACTTTCCACAAATAAAATGATAGGACAAGCTGGGAAAACATGGGCTTTATTTGACATTATAAAAAAGATTCATGAATTGAACTCCACCAACTTGAATGTGCAAAACACAAACAAAACCAGTTATTTGGACTCCAATTCCCATCCCACCCGTCTGAGGGAACATTTATCATTCATCATTATTTGGCCTTTCCTTATATATAGGTCCTGGGTATCTTTTACAGGTGAAAATTCAGAGGTGTTTTGCTAATCTACAGTCCGCACTAGCCCACATGGACACGCTTACTGCTCACTTAGTTTCTTGCTGCGGCTCTGGGCTTCTAAGGCAGGTGTGGCCATGGAAATCTTTGTCAAGGCAGGGAACCAGATACCTAAGGTCATATTCACTATAGTTTTGCTCCCCCCACAGGTGCTAGGCAGACATGGGTCCTTGCCTTAGAAACCATAGTTCCTCTTACCCTTTCCCATTCCTGGTGAATTTTCTTCCCTCCCCTAAGCTCTTATACTTCTGTCTTCACGCCATTCCATATAAAAATACATTTACTTCTGTCCCTTACTTCTTGAGAATGACTAATATAATTGTGCCCAAAAAGTCCAGCAAGAGATTTTAAGACAAGTTTTGCCTTAGATTCTACCATATAATCGCTGTACCTACCAAGGAAAAGGTATACTTTCCTGAGGGAATGGAAATGCAGTGGGAACAAATTATCTTGTCACCTACATATAAAAAATTAAGCTTAGTGTGTAATAAAAGAAATTAAGTGTAGAGTATAAATGTCTTAACACAATAATTAAGTGAGGTGAAGGCTGTGTTAACCAGTAAGCATTCCAAATTGTATATAAAATCAGCACATTGTACCCCATAAATGCACTAATGTATACGATTTAGACAATAGTATTTATGACTTAATAAAAAAATTAAGTTAAAAAATTAAATGAAACATCATTGCTATTGATGACAAAGGCCAGAAAGTTCTAATTATCTCCCATCACGCTCTCTACAATCCCTCTTATCTCCTTCCTCTATGTCCTGCTGCAGATTCCAAACAATTGTCCCATTTAGAGCATTGTCCCTCCATTCTCCCTGATAGCCTTTACCTTTGAGTGTATTGCTGTCAGGCCATACTACCTATTACCCCTCCCTCCTCCTTACAGTCCTATATTGGCCCCACACCATTCCTCTTCATCTTAGTTCATTTGTGCTATTTTAACAAAATACCTGCAACTAGGTAGTTTATTAAGAACAGAAATGTATTGTTCATAGTTCTGGAGATGGAAAAGTCCAAGGATAAAGGTACCAGCAGATTCAGTGTCTGGGTGAGTGCTGCTCTCTGCTTCTATGATGGCACATTATTGGTGTGTCACTGTGGCCTTACCTGGCAGAAGAGATGGAAGGGCAGAAAGGGATGGAAAGGGCAAACTCACTCCCTCAATCCTTTTTATAAGGCAATGATTCCATCCACGAGGACAGAGACCTCATGGCCTGATTATCTCCTAAAGGCCTCACTTCTTAATACCTTTGAGTTGGGGATGAAGTTTCAGTGAGAATTTTGGAGGGGCAAAGATTTGCATGTAGTACTCCTCATTCTTTTTTTGTTTATTAAATCATAACTGTGTACATTAATGCATTTACAGGGAACAATGTGCTGATTTTATATACAATTTGGAGTGCTTACATCAAACTGGTTAACATAGCCTTCACCTCACTTACATAATTGTTGTGTTAGGACATTCATACTCTACTCTTAATAAATTTGATATGTACCTTTGCAATATGCACCATAGGTGAGGTCCCACTGATTACCGTCCCTCCACCCGGCCTCTCTTAGAACTGGCTTTCTCCAATACTACTACTATTATAATTCTTGATAATGTAAATATCTACTTAGGTGAGTCTATCAATATCCTTTCACCTGTAGTACATGACTTCCTATGCAATAGATTTGATTACATTATCTCAGTCCCACACTCCTGCAGTAATACCCTCTACCTTACGATTACCAGTAAATGTATGTTTTTCATAAGCTTGTTTTTGAGTGTCCCACTCTCAGATCACCACCTTTATTTTTCTAGCTGAGTTCCTCTCTCACTAAGCCTCAAGAATCCTGGGGCAGGGCCTGTGGCTTAAGGAGTAGGGCACCGGCCCCATATACCTGGGGTGGCAGGTTCAAGCTCAGCCCCAGCCAAGACTGCAAAAGAAGAAAAAAAGAATCCTTTGACTCCATATGGACCCATAATCTGTTTCACCTTTTCACTGTCCTTTATCCTCACTCAAATAACCTTCACCCCTTACTTTCTCATCTAAGATTCTATGACCAATCAACATGAGGAACCTTTTGCCTACAACTTAACTCCATTGCCTTTCTTTAGCTTGACAAAAACACAGATTTCCTTGAATTGCACTCTTCATCTCTTTGACACCCACACCAGCACAGTTGGCTCTGGTTAAAGAAAATACACAACTGTGCTAACTGGTCTCATTTTAAATTCATGACAGGAAACCATACCTGGGATGGCAATGCCTGCCCTGTAACCCACACCACATTTCCCTAGTTCACTCACTGTCCCAACTGTCCAAGATGAAAACCTCACATTTTCTCCTTTGTCCTTAATATTCCAAAGTCTCCTCCCTCATTCTCATTCTTACCTAATGACCTGCTTCACTACCTCACTGAGAAAATAAAAACTACCATTAGTGAATTTCCATATGCTCCCACTGTTACATCATGCTCCTCAAATGCACAACTCCACCAACTGGCCTCATTTCTTCCTGCATCCTCTCTTGGTCTTTTCATCTCTCTGACCTCTGAATATTCGAATGTCTCAGGGCTCAGTTCTAATACCTTCTATCTCTTCTACTTACAAATTCTCCTTATGTCATAACATGTATTCTCATGTATTTTAATATCATCTGTCTACAGACAGCACCCAAATACTTATTTCCTGCTTGTATCACACTTCTGAGCTCCAGACTCACATAACTTACTGCTCACATGATATGTTCACTTACTCTTTAAACACAGCTTTATTGATTATAATTTTCATACTATAAAGTTCACTCCTTTAAAAACAATTCACTGTTTTTCTCATATATTTACAAAGGCACAGCCATCATCGTGAACAAATTTTAAAACATTTTTATCACCCAAAAGAAACCTCATTTGAAGTAGTGGTTACTCCTTTTTATTGCTGAATAATATTCTATGGTATGAATATAGCACATTTTATTTATTCCTTCATCAGAAGAACATATGGGTTGTTTCCATTTTTGATTATTATGAGCAATGCTGTTATGTACATTCATATACATCTTTGAATATGTATATATACATATAAAATTTTCATTGCTTTGGAATAGACCTAGGAACGTAATTGCTGGGGCATATGATAACTCTAGGCTGATTTCCTGGGGATTTCCCAAATTGTTTTCTAAAGTGGCTGCACCATTTTACATTCCCACTATCAACATATGATGGTTTCAATTTCTTCACATCATAGAAAAACACTTGTTATCCTCCATGTTTTATAATCCAGCCATCCTAATGGATGTGACCTGGTATCACATTGTGTCTTTGATTTGCATTTCCCTCATGACTAATGATGTTGAGCATCTTTTTATGTGATGCTTATCCATTCTTATACCTTCTTTGGAGAAATATATGTTCATGTCATTTGCCTATTTTAATTGGATTGTTTCTCTTTTTGTTGTTGAGTTGTAAGACTTCTTTATATATATTTTATGTTTAAGGCATCTACAAATATTTTCCAGCATTTTCACCTTTCCATATTTTCATTTTACTAATACTTTTATTTTTACCACAAAAGTTTTTGATTTTCATGAACTCTGATTTATTTTTTGTCTTTGGTTGTTGTGCTTTTTGTGTCATCTCAAAGAAATCCATTGTCATGACTTTTTCCAGCAGTTTTTTTTTTTTTTTTCTTCTGAGAGCTTTATAGTTTAGATTTGCATTTAGGTCTTTTTTTTATTTTTTAATTTTCTGAAAATTTCATTAGGCAATTTTTCAAACACGTAGTACAGTTGAAAAAATTATACGGTGATCGCCCATATACCCACCACATACATTTTATAATTTTCTTTTTCTTCACCTGTAGGGAATCTGTTCATTTGGAGGCCACAAGTTTTATGTGCCCCTCATTACAATCACCCCAGATTGCCGTTGGGTGTGTTATAAACAGAGGAGCCACTCTTTAGTGCATTTAGGTCTTTGATCCACTTTAATTTTTGAGTATGGTGTGAGATAGGGATTAAAGTGTTTTTTTTTTTCTTTTTACGTGTGGATATTCTCTTGTACCAGAAACATTAGTTGGAAACACTGTTTTTTCCAATTGAACTATCTTAATGCCCATGTTAAAAATGAATTGACTGTAAATGTATGCATTTTTTTCCTGGATTCTCAATTCCATACCACTGGTCTATATCTATTTTAATGCCAGTACCATGCTTTTTTGATTAAGCCCACAGATTGTAACAATTTTTAAAGTTGAACATTGATAAATTATAATTGTATATATTTATAGAGTAACGAATGATGTTATGACATGAGTATACAATGTGGGAAAATTAAATCAAGCTAATAAACATATTATCAGTTTATCTTGAGAACATTTGAAATTTATTCTTTTAGCAATTTTGACACATATAAACAATTATTCATTTTTATGTATAAAAACTTTTACACTTTAACCATTCCCCATTCCCTCATAATTTACTTTCCACTTCCCACTGCCATTTATTGAAGAGACTATCCTTTTCCTGATATGTGTTTGTAGCAGACCATGTAGCTCAAGGAAAGGAAAAGCGAGAGCTAAGCTTGGAACACTTTGTAATTATGAGAAACACCAGTAACATCTTGGTAATATAACACCTTGGTGATAAGGGTATGGGGAAGGGATTCAGCTTTCCTTAACACGAGAGCACAGGAGAGGAGAAAATCAATGATTGGAAGTTTCTACACCTGTGGTCCTAATAGCCACTAGGTCACATTTATAAGTAGCTGCAGGAGAAGGCAGTTGGGTAGCACTCATTCTTTCATGGACTCTTGGACACTTTCGCTTCTCCTGCTCACAGGGCCACTCTCCCAGAGGCCCTTCAAAGAGGACTGCTAAGATTAACTCTTTTACTAGGACTGTTTCTCTCCCTCAAAGATTGTTTCTCTCTCTCTCTACCTTCTGCTAAGGCGAATAGACCTCAGGCACTTAAGGGCAATTTTTCCCAAACAAGATAGCACAGTGGTCCATGTCTGGACAATAGATAAGCCACAACCAGAGACCTGGCCAGTTGCAGGCCCCAACAGTGTTTCTGGCACCTTTGTCTAAAACAAATTGACCATAAATTTGTGAGTTCATTTCTTGGCTCTCTATTCTGTTGCATTGGTCAAGGTATCCGTTTATTTTTTATTTTTTTCCTTTTATTAAGTCATATACACATACATCATGAATACATTTATGCATTTCTGGGGTATATATTCTTCTTAGTAAAATATCTCAAGAATGGAAGAAAAAGTATCCAATGTACTCAGTACTTTTATGAAATCAATTTATAATTACTCACACTTTCTTGTGAAGATAGATCACAACTATAGCCCAGGATGAAGGAGAGAAGTGGCAAGAAGGTATCCATTTTTTTAAACCATGCTGTTTACATTAATATAGCTTTGAAATATATTTTGAAATTAGATGTCATGATACCTACAGTTTTCTTTGTTTTGCTTAAGATTGCCTTGGCTATTTGGTTTTCTTTTGTGTGTGTAAGGTTCCTGTAGCATCTCTTGGTGGGAAAGGGGAACCTCAGGACTATAGGAGCAAAGAGGGGGTAATGAAAAGGCAGGGAGAGGGGAGGAGAGAGGGGATGGTTGTGTTCCTACTTAATGGGCACAATGTTAGGGTAAAGGGCACACTTCTTGGGGGTGGGACACAACTATAAGAGTGACTCTACCTAACAAATGCAAACATTGTAACCTAATTCTTCGTACCCTCAAATTAACCTGAAATAATAATAATAGAAAAAAGGGAGTTCAATCCATGTAATCCAAGAAATATAAAATTTTGGCTCAGCACCTGTGGCTCAAGTGGCTAAGGTGCCAGCCACATACACCTAAGGTGGCGGGTTCGAATCCAGCCTCGGCCCGCCAAACAACAATGATGGCTACAACCAAAAAATAGCCAGGCATTGTGGCAGGCGCCCATGATCCCAGCTACTTGGGAGGCTGAGGCAAGAGACTCGCTTGAGCCCAGGAGTTGGAGATTGCTGTGAGCTGTGATGCCAGAGCACTCTACCCAGGGGGACAGCTTGAGGCTCTGTCTCAAAATAAATAAATAAATAAATAAATAAATAAATAAAATAAAATTTTACTAAAAAAAAGAAATATGAATAACATACAGGTTTAAGAAAATATGTTTGGACCCACTTATAACAAAGTAAAAGGGAATGAGAACAAATATAGTATGTTTTTTTTTGTAAGATAAGTGTGAAACAAAGTTGATTGAGGAAGAGTAAGATACTGGTTTACAGAGCAACGTTTATGTTTGGCATAGACAATGAATAGGCCTCCCTTGCTGTGACAAAGACAAGGCCCTGGTAATGATCCGGGCTTCTGTTTTATACTGTTTGTGTGGGGCCCTCCTTATGTTTAGATGTTAACCATGTAACCACTTTTCTGGACAGCTAATGACATGATAATTAGTTCTAAGTCACTTTCAAAATCCTATCATGCCTGGGCTCCCGGTCCTTGGGCATTCCTCATTCCCCTACAATTGGTAGGTAGATTCTAGGGATAAGATTAAGATGCATTTTTCACCTGTCAGACTGACAAAGGTTAAACATTTTGGTATCATCCTACTTGTAATATGCTGTTATATGTGCTATGTTTCAATCTCATTGCAAGGCAATTTGGCAATATCTTTTAGAATACACATTCCCATGGATCGAGCAATTTCTACTTCTAGAAATACTAATATATATTATAGATATACTCACACATGTGACCAGGTATATGCACAAGGATATTTGTTGCAGGATTGGTTGTAATTAGTACCAGATCAGGGGAAAAACATGGATTTTTTTTTTTTTTAGACAGAGTCTCACTATATCATCCTGGGTAGAGTGCCATGGTATTATAGCTCACTGCAACCTCAAACTCTTGGGCTTAAACAATTCTCTTGCCTTAGCCTCCCAAGTAGCTGGGACTACAGTCACTTGCCAAAATGCCTGGCTATTTTTTGGTTGTAGTTGTCATTGTCGTTTGACAGGCCCGAGCTGGATTTGGACCCACCAGCTCCAGTGTATGTGACTGGCGCCCTAGCTGCTAAACTATAGGCACCGAGCTAAAAAACACTGAATTTTCATCACTAAACATTTGGTTTAAAAGTATGGTAAATTATTACAGTGAAATACCATGTCATTGAGAAAAATATGCTATACCTATGTATGTAAATATGGAATAATCTTTAAGATTTATTAAAGAGATAAAGCAAGGTACAAAAATGTACATAGTGTAATTGAGAATCATTTATATTGTCTATTATATTACATAGTAACTTTTAACATGAATAAATATTGCCTCTAAGAAGGGGAAAAAGGTACCTGAGTGAGTGAAATACCTATTTTTCATTTTCTATGTCCACTCTTAGAATATTTAGTCATGCACAAGTATTACTTTTTCAATTATGGAAGAATTCAACAAACTGATAATGGATGTCATGTATCTCAAGTGGAATTAAAATTAATCTTCCATTTAATATTTTCTGAGATATATTTTATTGAGATGTACATTAACTTTGAGTATAAAATTTAATGGATAAATTGTACACAAACATAGATGCATATACATTTGTGTGTAAACATCACTCAGATGAAGATGTAGTGTCCAATGCCCCCAGTAATTTCTTTCTAGATTCTTTCTTAGTTAATATCTACCCCCTGCATTGAGATAATCATTACTCTGATTTCCAGTACCATTGAATAATGTTCAGTTTAATTTAAAATTTTGGATTAAGATAGAAAAACGTTATGTTATATAGAACATGTGCGTAAAAAAAGACACTAAAGTGTTAAAAGTTAATCATCTACATAGGCATCAGACTACACATGACTTTACATAAAGAATGTAATATGAAGTCTGACAATTAAGTCCATGAACTGATTCTAGAAAAAGTGCTACATACCTCATTACTGAATATCACCATAGTTACCTTTGAAGTATTCCCCTTGAGAATCTATGCACTGATGCCAGTGCCTATTCCATCCTTCAACACAATTTTGGAACATTTAAGGCTGTCCTTGTATTACCTTTGATGTCCTGAATGTCATCAAAATGTCTTCCTTTCATTATTTCATTATCTTCAGGTAAGGAAAAAAGGCACTGAGGGACAGATCAAGTGATTAGGGAGGGGGTTTTAATATAGTTATTTGTTTACTGGCTGAAAACTTCCTTACAGACAGTGTCCTGTGAACTCTTTGCTTTTGTTCATCAGTGAGCTCCTTTGGGACCATTTTTGTAGACATCTTTTCCATGCCAAGATTTTCAGCTAAGATTTTCCTGTTTCTTTATCAATGTTTATTTGGCCTGTTATGCTTCTCACAGTCAATGGTTGACACACAATTCATTGAATTTTTGCAATATTTTCATCAGTTCTGCTCATTGCTGGCTGTCCTGACCTCTCTTTATCAGTGACACTTTCTCTTCCCTCAGAAAAATGTTTCATCCATTTGTACACTGCTGTTTTCTTCCTGGCATTATCCCCATAAACTTGGACTAACATGTCCCAGATTTCACCTTTGAATAACATGTCTCAGATTTCACCTCCACTCTGGAGGTGAAATTTAATGTTTGTTCATTGCTCTAATTCAAGCTCTGACATTCTTGCAACAGCACACAAAAACACACAACAAGAATGAATGCCATTCAGCAAGACACTGCCACATGTCGACACGAACACAGCTGTGAGACATTTATGTACCAAGGTTTTGAAACCTTACTCAGTCATTTGTACAATGCTGCAAACATAATCACGTGATGACAAGTACATGAACTTAATTGTCACTCCTCACATATAATTGAAAGATATAAATGAAAAAATATAATAAAATAAAAAAGTATAAAAACATAAAAATACACAATTTTCTGAATTATATTTTTTCAAGGTGGCTGACTAGAGACATTGGTTGCCATTTCTCCTCAGAAAGAAGAACCAAAGTTACACATGAGTAATCAGGGCC